GGGCCAGAGAAAGCCTACAAAAAGTTTGGCAAGATCATGGGTGTTTGGAGGAACAAGGACGAGGCCAAGGAACATGGCGGAGGAGAAGGCTCCAAGGGGAAGAAAGGAAAGGAGCCTCGCAAGACTCGAGGTCCAGCACTTGCTTACCAGTATGGTAGATCTGTAAGACCATCTTTTCCCCTTTAGGTCGATACGATCAAGTCACTAACACGAATTCATAGATTATTGTCGAAGATGAAGACGGAGAGGTCGTCAAGACATACGAATTACCTCCCGACCCCAACAGCAAAGCCCCTAAGTCCGGCGAATCTAATGCTGTTCGCCAAGGAATACAGCGTATGGGTACATGGACAGGACTTGGTGGTAACAAGGTAGACAACTCTACCAAAACAGATGCTACAAGCGCAGAACCGGTCCGACAAGGCATTACTCGAATGGGCACATGGAATTTCGGCAAGAACACACCAAATACTGAAAACAAAGAAGCTGAAGAAGAAGATGATGATCGTCGTATTCGATTCACTATTGGAGGAGCAGGACGCCGTCTAACTAAGGAAGATTTCTTGAAAGAAATTCAAGGTTTAGACCCTAAAGCAAGATGTGAGATTGTCGAAGAAAGCGATGCACCCAGGGCGATGAAGGACTTGGCAAAGAGAGACGCCAGTGATAAAACACAAGGGAGCTCCCGGTTGTTTGAAGCTGAAAATACGCAACTTGCTGCTGGTGCGCAAACTGCACGAGTGGTTGGAAAACAAATGGCCAAGGCACAGGGCGCGAAAATTGACGCAATTAAAGAAAGCAGTGCAACAGGAAGCAGCAAGAACGAAGTGCCTGAGACGGCTGCAGAAAGGAGAAGAAGACACGATGCTTTGAAAGGAGTAGAGGAAGATGAAGAGACAGATGAAGCTAGAGGGCGAGGAAGGGGACGTGGACGCTCTCCTAGTCGTGGCAGTAACGGTCCAGAAGAGAAAGAAACGCCAGCAGAAAAGCGAAGACGGGAAGCAGCTCTTGGAGAAAGCGTACAGAGCGATAGTGATGATGACGATACTCCGAGAGTGCCACCACCAGCTGTACGCAGCAGGGGCATTAGATTTGCGCAGAGTCCTGTGAGAGGAAAGAAGTAGTTATGGATATATTATGTACATGCCGGTGGATTTTTAATGTTTTTCCAAAGGCGTTGATCTCATGTTACCATATTGTTGGGGAAGAGATCACGGCTATACTTGATAATGTTGCTACGAAAATTTTGAGATGATACCTACGTAGATGAGCAAACTAGCATTTTCGGAATCATGATTGTTGGGTGTTGGGTAATTTTGAATGGGTGGTCATACATAGCATATGGATTAATGTCATAGAATGGTAGAATATTGATTAGATTGATAGTCATGGGTGATGTGCCAAAAAATGTGATCGACTATGACTTGTATTTGTGTTACTATTGTTATTGTTACTGTTACTATGTGGATGTGGTCGGTCTTAATTTGAGGTTATACTCGGAGTGATGATAATGGTTGAATGACGTGGACAACGCAGTTACCGTGTGAATGGGAGGGGGTTTCTAGGTAGGTATCTAGTAATCTTTATTGTGACTCTACAGAGTATTCTATCCATTGTTATTTACGATACATTTCATCCATTAGATTCGATATCTTTTTGAAAAATTTCGACGAAAGTTTGTTGTCGTCATTGATGGACAAGGATACCTTGACCAATGAGCATCGTTATCAATTTTATTGGACCCCCACGCGCCTCTTAAATTGCCGAGCAAGTTGAACGAAGATTCATGCGAATTTCGCCTCCAAAAGTTTCATGCTATCAACAACTAGTCACACCCTTCTAAGAATACAGACTGACATCTATTTGCGAATGGTCGGCATCTTACAATCATGAGTCAAAATAATAGAAAAGGAAAGGGAAAGGGCAGAGGTGGGCAAGCAGGTTCGGGCGACAATTCTAATAGCAATACTCCAAAGGGTGGCCGACCACAATACATGACTGTTGGACCTGGAAGTGCACCGGAAAGTGCTGCAAGACTACAAGCGCTCCTTGACAGTGATTCTGGGTATGGAGGCAGTGTGGCTGGCGAAAGCTCGAACGGGGTTCCATCATGGAATCCTACACTGACACCGGATAGACCTACTCCTCCACCCTCTTCCCTTCCTCGAGGACAATCGAACGAAGTTTCTGAAAACGAGAGACGGTCGCAGGCAAATGCAATACATCAGCTATGGTACAATCAACATCGGGTCACTCTTGGTAGATCAATCAATCGTGTGGTGGAAACTTTGAAGTCGTTGCAGGAAATGAACGCACAATGGCCAGCAATTTACCCCTCAGTTCAGCGCGAAGAATCTCAACATCATCGACAGGATCCGCGGCCAGGTTTGGTACATACGCAAACTGGTATCAGGTCATCAACACCTGAACCTCGTCCTGGACAAGTGCGACGTGCCATGACATCTATTGGTGAGGGTAGCAGCAATGCGGAGTCGAGTCAAGCTGCGGAATCAAGATCAACTCCGGAACCCCGACTCGTAACACCACAGATCGCACAGGAGTTTTCTATCTTGAAGTTGGATTTGAAGTTGGGATCCTTACATCAAACCGAGTTGGTACATTCTTTGGAAAAGGCTTCAATCGCATCTCTGCTTGATGGAAAAATTAGTTCGAGCATAAATCATTTACTTTCACTACGAGAACGGATCGAAGATTCTTCAAGTAAGGTTCTCGTAACGGGAGATCTAAACACTGGTAAATCGACATTCTGCAATGCACTTCTGCGACGAAAGATTTTGCCAGAAGATCAACAACCTTGTACGAGTATATTCTGCGAGGTTTTGGATGCGAGAGAAAATGGAGGAATCGAAGAGGTTCATGCGGTACACAAGGAAACCATCTACGATCGACATGACGAAAGCACTTTTGACGTTTACACGATTCAAGATCTGGAACAACTCGTCCTTGATAACGATACTTACACACAATGCAAAGTCTACGTCAAAGATGTACGCACGATTGACGAGTCCTTACTGAATAACGGAGTGGTGGATATCGCAATCATCGATGCGCCTGGTCTCAACTTGGATACTACGAAAACGACTGCGGTGTTTGCTCGACAGGAAGAGATTGATGTTGTCGTCTTCGTTGTCTCGGCGGCCAATCACTTTACACAAACTGCGCGAGAATTTATTTGGGCGGCAGCGGCGGAAAAAGCATATATTTTTATGGTTGTCAATGGATATGATAATATTAGGGATAAGGAACGATGCCAGAAGATGATTTTAGAGCAAATCCAGGGTTTAAGTCCTAGAACTTTTAAGGAATCCTCCGAACTCGTTCATTTCGTATCGAGTAATGCTATTCCCACTGCTGCTCTTGGTCCCCCTGGTCCACCGGGTGGAAGTGGTGGCGGAAGCAGTAGTTCTAGTGGAGGTAGCGGTGATGGACCAGACTTCGATGATGGTTCAGACCCTAAAGGAAAGGGCAAAGGCAAGGACAAGGAAAAGATTAGAGACTTTGAGATTCTTGAACAGTCACTGCGTCGATTTGTTCTCGAGAAGCGAGCTAGATCCAAGTTGGCTCCAGCAAAGACCTACTTACTTAATGTCCTAAGTGATATTCAAAGTCTTGCCACTGTCAATGCAGAGGTTGCACAATCCGAGTTGGACCGTGTTACCAAGGAACTAGCAGATATAGAGCCAATGCTCGAGGCTTCTCAAAAGGCGAAGGCCGAAGTCAGCGATGATATTGATCGAACTATCGATGCAACATGCAAGAGTATTTACGATTACACCCGCTCGACGCTCAATGACACAATAGCTAGAACAGCCGATGGTGATCTTGGAATCCCATATCCAGGACTATTCGGTGCATTCCAGTATGCCGATGACATCAAGGAAGCTATTATGTCCGAAATCTCTGCTACTGTTTCTGCCTGCGAAGAACATGCTCGTCGTAAGACCGTTGATGGCGTAACACAGATCAAGCAACTTGGTATCTTACATCTCGGTGATGAGTATACAGACTTGAGCTTCAGAAGCGACATCATGTTCAAGCGCAAGCGTGATATTCTTGCTAAGCATCTTGACATTGAGACTGAACTGTGGGATTTCTTTGATTTCTCCACGCTACTTCAACGACAAGAGAAGATGGCTGGAACTGGTATGGCAATGACTGTTGCCACTGTTCTTGGTAGTCGTGCAATTGGCGGATTCGGATGGGTTGATGGTGCTCTCTCTGCCGCAAAGATTATGGGTAACAACAATTTGCGTAGATTGGTCGTGCCAGGAATCTTAGCAGGAGGTATGTTTTGCATGATTCTACGTTGTATATTCTTACTAATTGCTTCAAGCTATCGCCGCAGCTTACTATGTCTTGAACCAAATCCCTCAATCACTTCCACATCGCCTCTCCTCCAAGATCTCTACTCAACTTTCTGCCATCGATTACGTACACTCCAACAGTGATCGCATCTCATCATCAGTACGCAAGGTTCTTCGATTCCCTGCCGATAATCTTCGAGTTGGTCTTCAGCGTTCAGTTGAACAACTTGGTACCAAGCGTGAAGAGACCCGAAAGATCAGAGGTGAAAGTGAAGTTGCTAGAAAATATTTTGGTAACTTGGTCAACAAAAGTGCGGAAATCAGAAATAATGTCGAGAGTGTGGATTTGGAGGGACCAGCTCCAGGAGTGGCTGCTGCATACGATGCTTAGATTCTTTGTTATACCCAATATCTCTTTTTCTTCTTATGCGTCGATGACTGCTTTCTCAGATGAATAAAAAATGGCGTTTTCTGAGCAATTGATTTTTGAAAGACAATTAGGGATGGATTGGTGGAACAGGTGATGGATGGGTGGTGATGTGGAAAATGGAAATATGAGTGGCGTTGGTCGTAAGCTTTAGGATTGATTGTATGGCGTACCTAGCTACTTCGGACTCCCCTCTCCACTTACTTTACTCAGTAGAAAAGAAAAGAAAGTAATATCATACATTAAACATGTCACATGTGAGATGTGCGTTTGCAATACTGCCTCTGATGAACTTGTTGCCAGGCCATATATCAGTAGTGTATGGTGAGATTTCTAGATGAGGGGAATCCCCGGTGAACTTTTATCAAATGATTTATGACTTTTTCGAAGCTTAGCTTCCGTGCTCATAGCCCATAGATTACTCCCAGTGAGCATGTCTCCAGTACTCCCGAGTCGCATCAAATAGGGACGGATATTATGGGCCTTAAATATCAGGGTACAATTTAGCCAAGGCTGCTAAGATCCAAGGCTACGACTCTGGGAACGAAGCCGGACCATTACTACATGACGACTTGCGCGGCTGCATCGAACACACACCATCAAATAATCTATACTAATTCACCAACCTTCCCACCTTTCTCCAATTCCCTTCTACCTTCAACCGCGATAAATACTTCCAATCGCCATCATGAATGTATGTACCACTCCTCTTATCACCCTCAAGCTCCCCCACTAACCATCCCCCTTCCAGATCGTCGAATGGGCATTTGGCAAGCGCATGACGCCTGCCGAGCGACTGCGCAAACACCAGCGATCTTTGGAAAAAACACAACGGGAACTCGATCGCGAGAGAACGAAGTTGGAAAACCAGGAAAAGAAATTGATTCAGGAGATTAAAAAGAGTGCAAAGAATGGACAGATGGGCGCGGCGAAGATTCAGGCAAAGGATTTGGTCAGGACGAGGAGATATGTGGAGAAGTTTTATAGTATGAGGACGCAGTTGCAGGCGATTAGTTTGAGGATACAGGTATGTGTTTTTTTAAATATTGGGGTTGTTTTTTTGGGAGGGGGGCTTGGAGGGAGGAGGGGAGAGGAGAGGTTTTGTGATTAGGAGAGGAAGAGGGAAGAAAGTGATTGAGAGAGTGTGTGTACTGATTTACGGGGATAGACGGTCCGAACAAACGAACAAATGATGCAAGCCATGAAAGGTGCAACGGGTGTTCTAGGCAGCATGAACCGCAGCATGAATCTCCCGGCGCTCCAAAGAATCGCGATGGAATTCGAAAAGGAAAATGATATTATGGATCAGCGACAAGAAATGATGGATGATGCGATTGATGATGTCACGGGTCTGGAAGATGAGGAGGAGGGCGAGGAAGTCGTCGAACAGGTTTTGGAGGAAATTGGAATCGATTTGAAAGCGGCGATGGGGGAGACGCCCCAGGGATTGCAGAGTCAGACGGTGGCGGAGGGGAGGGTTGCTCAGGCTGTTGGGGGTGGTGGGGGGTTGGGGCGGCGGATCCAGGGGATGATGATTTGCAGGCGAGATTCGATAGTTTGAAGAAGGATTGAGTGGGTTATTGATTAGGGGGAAGAAAAGGAGGGAGGGGTGAGAATTTATTGAATGAGGTCACATGCAAATCCATTTCTGCAAAGAGAATAATCATCTGTCGCTATGGAAATCGTTATGGAAATCGAAATGGACAGATGAAATATCTAGTGGAAAGAGTATATTGTGTTTGTCGATCCATACATACACTACACTACACTACACTCATAATTCTTTCATTGGCGTTACTTGCAGGATTGTGGAAGGCGTTTCATCGGGGTTGTGGTTTGGGTCTGGTCTGGTAGGATGGACTTTACAGAATTTTTTTCATTTTTCACTCATGATCGTCTGTCTATCTGACTGACTGACTGACTGACTGTCTTTTACAAAGAGTAAATTGGAAGGTTATGAGGATGAGGATGAGGATGGGAGTCTTGGGATAGGATGGGAGGAGGGGGTTTAGCTTTTGGGAGGGAGGGGCTGCTTATGAGTACATACATACATTCGTACGTTCGTAAATAGGGAATAAATGAGATTTGTTAGAAGCAGATGTGAGGATCTTTGGTTTACTAAATGCTTCTGTGAGGTTTGAGGTGTGAATGCTGGAAGGATGATTGGGGGATGAATTTAACTAGCTAGACATGCTATATATATAACTATCCACCCAATGTAAAAATCACATTTCTCTACAACCATCTCCTCCATCCCCCATTCCCAAACCACAAAACAACAATCAAAAATACTAGCCATCGATAACTTCCTTTCTCTCATACAACCCGACCCAATCCAATGCAAGCTAAGTTATACAACACCAAAGATTACAACTTACCTCTTTTAACTTACTTAAACACTTTTAACTTAGTTTAGTAATTCAGTAATCCAGTCCACCACCATGCCATCATCCATCATATCAAATCATAATACTACGCTGATACCACCAACCCATCCAACCCACCCAACAATACTCAATACGAAAACTCAAAAAAAAAAGAGAAATCCATCATAATTTATGAAGATTGCATACACCTACACCTACCTACCTACCCTCCTCTCCCCTCCCCTCCCCCGTATTCCAGGACAAAAGTTATCCAACCGACCAACTGACCAACTAACTCGATACAATACGATACGAAAGCTTAAACCACACACCTGGGCGAAAGAAAAGAAATGAAGAGAAGAGAAGAGAAGAGAATTAAAAATAAAGCGTGATTTATACCTATTTTGTATTTGTGTCCGTGTCTAGATCTGATATCTAAGTTACCCATACCCATCCGTGTTGGGGTTATGTATCTATTTCTATTTACAGGTACATGCTTAATAGGTAGATAGGTAGGTAGATAGGTAGGTAGGTACTCACATTCTCAGTATATAGGGAGGGAGGGAGGTAAGAAGAGTATGGGATGGACTGACTGGGACGATGATCTGGTTATTGATTGGTGTATAGGAAACGTGGTTGGTGTGTCAATGACCATCTCTATTATGTGATATCGACTTACCTAGGTCGTATCCAGATAGATCAATAAATAGCTATCGAATGAAGATTTGTGTCCTGTGAGATTGTGGGAAGTGAGGTGTCGTCGAGGGATGTATCTAACTAGGTAGCTGGGTCTCTTCGGTGTGTGGATGGATGTATTGGTGCGTACGTGGTGGCACGAGATAAGGTGTCCATGTACGTGTACGTGTACCGGGTGATACTTGTCCCTGGTGTAGGTAAATATCTATCTCGGGATCGAAATACCTACCTGGTCGGTCGTCGTATCTAATCCAGATGTTCTTTGTGTTGTGTGTACGAAGCGGAAGAATCCAAGGAACCTGAGGATCCTGGGTGGCATTTCTGGATTTCCCCAGATTTCTCCTTCTCGTTTCATTCACCCAATACGAATAATACTACCTTGAATTCTTGCTTTGCGGTCGGGAGTACCTAGTCGTAATATCTCCATGTGGCCGAATGGAGAGGGAGATCTTGATAACCTAGTAATCGACGGAGAGATTGACATGTAGATTGATGAATAATGGTGTCTAATTGTGTCTAATTGTAATGTCCAATGAGGAATACTTGCGATACATAAAGGTTATTGTAGTGCTTCCTCGGATTTCATGGTTTCCTTGTATCAAAGAGTATTTATACCTTGTGCCTTGAATGGTGTTGACACAGTAGAGAATTTGGAAGTTGGGTTTAGATTGATATTTATATTTGTATTTATATTTGTGTTTATATTTATTTATGTTTATATTGATATTCGTATTTATGCTTATATTTATATTTATATTTGTATTTATATTTATATTTACATTTACATTCACATCAACTCATATTCATACACATTGCATCGATCTCTTCTCCAAATCCCAGCTCCGTGGTACTTTATATTATCAGAGTGGATTGCGGAGGTAATCAATGGGAAGATTATATTATATTACATCTACATATTACCTGGTCTCCGGTGTGTACCTACCTAGGTACCCAAATAACCCAATTACCCAAATACCCCACGAACCGACCGCAAAAACGATGTCATGGGAGAGGAAATGATGATCCAAGCTAATTAACTCCCAGTCAGTCTCAACTCAACCCAGGAACAGGAACCAAAACTCAGTCATACCCAATTCAATTCAATTCAATTTAACCTCAACTCATCTTCGATTGTACTTCGCAAACTGATCAAATTTTCATTCCAATATTGAAATCTTACGAATCATCAGACTATTCATTGTCTGGTCATATCACAAAGTCAACGACCTACATCTTGAGGGCGAAGCAAACAAGCAAAGCAACCTACCAAACAAATCAGAGCAAGAACGATAAATTCACACAACAGACGAACCTTCTTCCTCCCTTCGATAACAACCGTCAGTCTCTTTACGAGACACTTTTATTAAAATCAAACAAACTGGCAGGAAATAAGAGGAGGAGCTTTTCCTCCCAAGGAGGTCTGCTCAACAGAATGTTTGGCAGCTCAAGTTCCCCACCAAAAGATTCATCCTTAGCTTCCACCACAACTCCTCCCACCTCTTCCGAATCTAGCGCCGATTCATCAACAGGTCTCAACAATCAAGGCGATGCATCAGCCGCTTTGAAAGCTCTCGATGGCGAGACTGGCACATCCGAAAAACGTAGCGGGAATGGTAGTCCGCCAGGTCGCGCAATTCCCGGCGATGGTTCTGGGGAGAAGAAACGCCGGAGTAGCGGGGTCGGCGGTAAAGCCAGCTCGTTTCTGGCCAGTGCGAAAAATTCATTGCACTTCAGTCAGAGTCCGAATTCTTCCGGATTCATGTCTGGTGGTCGATCGAACGATGCAGTACAAACGCCCTTACAAAAGTTGGGAAAGCAAGATCCGGCCTTGACGGTTCCTCAAGGTCAGCATAATAATTCGGCGGGAGAATCTCGTCCCGGTCCTAGATCGACCTTCAAGGTCGGCGTTTGGGAAGATAAAAATAAGAAATGTCGTCGAACGATGGAGGATACTCATGCTTTCCTGTATAACTTTTTACATACACCTGCACCTGTGGTGGGTGCCGATTCTAGCTCAAAGTCGGAAAAGTCAGATAGAGTCGCAAGTGATTCATCAGATAGTCTTGCTCGGCCGGTATCCGCACAATCCATGATGGAGACAGATAATGGTTATTTCGCAATCTTCGATGGTCATGCAGGTACATTTGCTGCAGATTGGTGTGGAAAGAAACTACATCTCATTTTGGAAGAGACTATACGAAAGAATCCGAATACACCGATTCCCGAACTTCTCGATCAAACCTTTACTACTGTCGATGCGCAGTTGGAGAAATTGCCTTTGAAAAACAGTGGTTGTACTGCCGTTACAGCAGTTCTTCGTTGGGAGGATAGGATACCAAACGCTTCATCTGCCACGGGTTCTACAGCCATTGCACCTGCGACCGCTGCTGCTGTTAAAGCTGCTGAAGAAACACCGAAGGCTGAAGATGGTGGTGCAGATTCAAAATCCACACCACAACAGCCAAAGGCCGTTTTGAACGCCCCTACTGGAGATGTTCAGGCAAAACTCAAAAGCACTTCTTCTCGTGCCAGAGTTTTGTATACAGCCAATGTTGGAGATGCACGTATTGTATTGTGTCGTAATGGCAAAGCTTTACGTCTATCGTATGATCACAAGGGTAGTGATGAGAATGAAGGAAAACGTGTTGCAAATGCAGGTGGTTTGATCCTCAATAATCGTGTCAATGGTGTTTTGGCAGTTACTCGTGCATTGGGAGATGCGTATATGAAAGACTTGGTTACGGGTCATCCATATACGACTGAAACTGTGATACAACCTGATAGTGATGAATTCATTATCTTGGCTTGTGACGGTGTAAGTACCTCTCTAATTGTTTGTAAAGAAATCTACTAATTCAATCATACAGTTGTGGGATGTTTGTTCAGACCAAGAAGCAGTTGATCTCGTTCGTCATCAACAAGATCCTGTTGCCGCAGCTAAACAACTTGTCGAATATGCCCTCGCCCGTTTCAGCACGGATAATTTGTCTTGTATGATTGTTCGATTCAATCGACCACTTCTTGTTGCAACGGCCAAAGATTCTCATGCAGCTATTGGCGTTGAAGGTGATGGTAATATGGGATTCGGTACACTATCCGAAGCAGATAAAATTGTTTCAGAATCTCAGCAAAAAGTTAAAGATGGAGCATCAAATCTTGGTGTTAGTGGTAGCAATAGTGGTGCAGGACATGATCCTAAATTCGACGGAGCCGTAGAGGATGAAGAAGATGAAGAGAGACCTCGGATGGAGAGTGTAGTTGAAGAGGAACCTCAATCTATCGAGGGTGATTCATCGACTCCGGAAATAGATTTAAATGCTGTGAAGAAGGCGAAAGCGGAGGAGACGGCTGCAAATTTGCATTTGCCGGCTGGAGCTGAGAAGTAATGTTCTTTACTTGTGTATATTTTGAGTGGGAGGGGTAGTGCGGGGAGCGATTTTTTCTTTTCTTTGCAGTTTGCTGAGTGATTATTTGGGTTTATTTTGGGAGGTTGAGAGGGGTGCGGAAGGGCTAGCAATGAATGGATGGATGGATGAATGATGGCTTGATGAGATTTATCTAAGTTATGGTTCTGTGAGATGGGTAGAGGGATTCGGGGAAGGATGGGTGGAAGAAGTTTTTAACTGATGAGTGGGTGCTACGAATATGGATTTGGGGGTTGGCGGGGTTGGCAAGGGGAAGGGGATGGGGATGGGGATGGGGATGGGGTAGGGGTAGGGGCAGGGGCAGGGCATATTAAATTACGCGGAGTACCCAAGCAATGATACGTAGTGTAGCGTACTGTACCGTACAATGTATGAATGTTTATGCGTGCATGATATGAGTTGAATTGAATTGAATTGAATTGAATTGAATTGCAATGGAATGGAATGAAGGCTATTGATTTTTTATGTTTTCTCCTATAAGGTGCTTATATTTGTATTTGTGTGTGTGTGTTTCTATATCTTATCATAAAAACAAATTTGTATATTGTGAATAAGGAAAAGGGAGGGAAGGAAGTTGAGAAGAAGAAATATAGAGGAGAGGAAGGAGAAGAGATGTTGAAAAAAGGGAGGAGAAAATTATATATATATATATATATTTCACCACCTCGATGTGTATTATCTACACAAAAGCAAAAGCGGACATGTAATGCAATCTTGTGATTTTTATAATGAGATGGGATGGGATGGGATGAGATGGGATGGGATGAGATGGGATGAAATGGGATGGGATGAAATGGGATGAAATGAAATGAGATGAGAAGAAGATATCTCATTATTTGTTTTGTTCTCGTATCTGATGTATTGTATTGTATTGTATTGTATTGTATTGTATTGTATTGTATTGTATTGTATTGTATTATATTGTATTGTATTGTATTGTATTGTATTGTATTGTATTGTATTGTATTGTATTGTATCACACTATATTATATCGCATCACATCACAATATCTATCTAAATAGTATTTATGATAAGTAATACCTACATATCCGTATTTACTATACCCATCTACCTATCTATCTATTATTAACCAATCAATCCATAGATAAACGATAACTAGATAGATAGATAGATACTATACAAATATATACTAATTTATTTCACATTGCAAATCATACTAGATGTATATCTATCTACAGATCTAATGTTCTATGAATAGGAAAGTGATCCAACTCAATTATATTCAATTCGCATACACCCTCAATCTCAAATTCAAGTAGTATCAAATCTCAAACATCAAATATCAAACATCAAAGAGCATAAAAACCATCTCATATTCCTAGATATCCTTCTCCCCTTTTCTCAACAAGCGAGATATATCTACTGTACTAGGTGCTCCGAGTTTACTCGGTTCTGATTCCCTCCTATTCCTATCTCCTATTCCTAGGTATTCCCAACAGCATATATAAATGTAAATGCAAGTGCGTACGTATTTGGCGCATTTGCTTCCTCCTACCCCTACCCCTTCTCCTCTATCAATAACACATTCCCTCCCAACCAACCAGCTCATATAAGAAGCAATTAACTCCACCCCACTCCATTTCTCAAGTGACTTTGAACTCCTCCAGATATACGCCCATCACCCACTATTCACCCTAACATGCAAACTAACTTCTTATTTCCCTCATTCGTTCCTTCGAAAATATGTGCCCAGATCATGTGTCGTTTATTATCCATTATCGTAACCGTACAAAAGTGATGAATCAAACCAGTAGACATATCATATGGTCGCCCATAGAGAATCCTTCTTCGCTAAAATGCAGGAATTTTGCCATGGCCAAATCATTTCGTATTGATTGATTGTCTCTTTTGAGAATAAATCTAAAGAGCAGAATGTGGTGTCGAGTGAGCTGTTGTTGGTGTTTCATTATAATCTAGATTGCTAGATCCGGTAGCTAGCCCAATTGTGTTTGTTCTCCCTGCACCACCATCGAAAATGAATGGTCCCACGTCATTTCTGGGTGTCATTGGTCCTTCACCCGTGAGAGAATCTGCTAATGTAGGATGCATCCCATTTGGACTTGGTGAACCGCGCTCAGAACGAGCAGTAGAGGCGGCACTCGGGACTGGTTTTCTTACAATGATGTCGAGAGGTGATACTGTAGAACTCAAGTTGGTTTGAGGAACCGGTGTGGCTGAAGCCGAACTGGCTTGTGAATCGCTGACGTTAAGAAAAGCTATATCTTCGAGTCTAGTTTCGCGAGCGTGGGCCCCTGTACTAGAATCATCGCTCGTGTCGAGATCATCTTCGATATGGTTCATATTCAAAGGTTCAAAGGTTTCCGGCTCTGGTAGAATTGGTGCGGCGATAGAGTCACTCGTCCGTGGTATAACCGTTTCTTGGGTTGTTGGCTCAGTTCCAAGGGGATTGTTTGTACTTGTCGCGGATTCTGATATTGCTGCCACCTCAGCCTCCGCATCAGATGTGGCCAATTCCTCCCAATCTCCATCTGGTTCATCAAGCTCTGCCTCGAGATCTGCGACTGTACGACAATTTGGACATATAAAATGAGGCCAAGCAGGACCATTGATAACGACTCGTATACATTTGTAATGCCATGTATGAGAACATGGCGCGACGAATAAAGATTGGCAAGGCTTGCACATGTTAGTTTAGGGCTACAAGTGAGGAGAAAACCTCTTGACTTACTGCAATAGGTCCAAGACAAATCGAGCAATCTTGCGAGGAACTACTCGAACCACCGGAGGCTTGTTTCTTGAGATTGTTGTTGAGCTCGCGTAAGCGCTTATGGGATTGTACACTAGATAGAAGATTAGCAAACACACTGGATTCACCATCAAACTAGTAGACATACTTGAAACTGCTAGGACCAGTTTGCCATCCTTTGTTGAGTTCCACTCGTATTTTGACGCATCTAAATATCATTTCCTCACCACCTTTGAAATCTATTCCTAATTGAACTATATCGCCATCGTTCACTGGGAATGGTTTTGATTCTGTTCCAGGTGAACTTAATCGTATATGATTGAGAAATGTGCCCGATGAACTTTTCACATCCTTTATAAACCAACGACCTCCCGTGCACCAAAATTCACAATGACGCCTGCTAACCACTTTTGACTTAAATCCAACTGGTGCAAACGATGGCACATTCGTAGCATGAGGGGGTTGATTATCTCTTTCGGAATATCGACCAACTTTTATGATTTCTTTTCCTGTCGGGAGTGTTCGACTCATGGTGCCAAATACGAGAGATGGGCGATGAGCTCGAGGATCTTGATGCGGAGAGAAACGAATTGATGGTAGTTGATGTGACATCGCTTCTCTGGTTGATTGGGAACTGTTTTCTCCCACGTCATTTAATAAAGGCATATCTGCTGCCCCTCCTGTTCCTGCAGATCTGGTTCTTGCCATCGACGCCTCAAGACCAGAGGCTATCGCAGATGAATCGTTGGCCGATAAGACGGCTGAAGAGGAGGCAGTCGCAGTAGGTTGTGGCTGAGTTGCAATTCTTGATACTCCGCTGTGACCTCCCACTGTCGGTAACCACCCACTTGTCGATCCAAGATTTTCTTGATTATTCAAACCTGCAGAAGTTAATTCGGGGGATTTGTGGATCTTCGTGCAGTGGGTGAAATTTGTCGAGGAAGAATTTCGGTTGTAGAAGTTGCAGGCGTTGCAGGCGTTGCAGGCGAGGCTGCAGAAGAGGCGTGAGAGGGTGCGCTCGTTGACGTGGGGGATGAAGGTGAAGGATAACTTGAGGTGTGTGAGAGTGTGGGTCGTGAATTTTGATGATTACTATTTGAATTTGTATTTGAATTTGTATTTGAATTTGTATTTGAATTTGAATTTGAATTCGAAGAACTTTGATTGTGATGTTCCCTCGACAACAAGTGATTTTGTGTGTAACTTCGCAAGTAACTCAAACCTCTTAGACGACCTCTGGTTGATGATGATGATGTGGGAGATGTTGGGGTTGTAGTTGGTTGTGGGGAGATTGGTGAGACGGTTTGTGGTGCACTTCTTTCTCGTACCATGGGTGATGATATTGAAGTGGTTGGGTTCCAGGGCGAACTAGGGAGCGATGAATACATGGAGAGAGAATATGAAGAACGAGGATTAAGGCAATCCTCGACTTTTATTATTCTTGAAGGGGAGAGAGAGGTGAATGAATGAATATATTGGCTGAAAAAATAGAGAACAAAGTTGTCAAGAATGCGAATTTGTATTTGTTGTATTTGTGTTGGAATTTGAATTTGAACGTAACAAAGGATGATCGAATTCAAGACAAGTGGTGATAAATTAAAAGAAAAAAACCCTTGAATGAATTAAGTAGTAAAAGAGATTGTGTATGGATAGATGGTTGGTAGGTAGGTAGATAGATAGATGTATGGTCTCGAGATAGTATGTGTAATGTGTAAGGTCTGTAAGGTCTGTACCTGGTAATCCCGTACTATCACTACACTATCTGGTAGTCAAAGTGTTGCTGATATTGAATCTTGGTGGATTGATTGGACTGGATTGGATTCGAATCTGTTCTTGATGGGAGTTTGGGGCAAGAGCAGTCAAGTGGCTTGTCGTGCTGTGCGTTAACTTGACATCTAGATTGAACGTGTGGTATGATACGAGGATGGATAGATTGCAGGAGGAGGAGGTGGAGGAGTAGGAGAAGCAGTAGTAGTAGTAGTAGTATAAGTAAATATCAAACAGTCGTATCAGTGCCGTATAGTTTCTGGGGTAAATCAACAGGTGTGGAAAAAAGATGAGAAGAGGAAAAAAGAATGTGAATGGATGTGCGGTGTGTTGACGTTGAGATATGTGGGTGAAGATGTATGTATGAAATAGAGTTGTAAGATCTTATGTATGTACAAGTACTATAAATGGGGATGTATATGTATATATGTGTGAGTGTATGGATGTATGAATGTATTGAATGTATTGAATGTATATATCTTTTATCAGAAACTTTAACGAGAATAAGAGTGCGAATAGACCGTAGAAGATATCTTGATCTTGATGTTGGTTGTATGGTGGTTGTTAGGGAGGATCTGAGAGTGGCATAGGATAGACTTGTTACATGTGGTGAAGGTAGTATTGCATTCGCAGAGGATATCGTGTAGTCGCCGTACGAGATGTTGAGAGATGATGATGATGATGATGATGATTATAACAATGATAACAATTATTATAACAATCACATATATAAAACTAGCATCCGTATATATAAACATGTAAATAAACACATACAATACAATACACACACATTCGCATATTCACACATACACACATATATCCCTTCCGGTGATTGCATCCAGATACTCACTCGGACATGGCCAACATAAATGGTCCATCATCTCGGTCGATGTCTATCAGGCCATTGATATCAAATCACCCGTCATTCAAATGCATCATACGGATGAAGATGGATCGAGAGAGATACGCGATCAGTCAGAATGGCACGAGTGCAATATCCATGATATAAAAAATGGCCGGAAGCAGGGCTGGATTTGGTAACGACGTTCCTTTTCACAGTCATGGTATTGCCACGATAGATTACATACCTAGGTAGTGGATCCATACCAGTTCCTTCTGAATACATGTGTACGATGTGTAGCTAGAGAGGTAGAATCAACCATACGATCGAAAGAGTTCTGGATATCAGTAGCTACGTTATCAATACTTCTACATGCTTCCATCTAACTTTCACACTTCACTCACTTACTTTCACACTTCACTCACTTGCCTTCGCTCCAACTTGACTTCGAATATTGATAACCGCAATAAAAAGATAAAAAATGCTTTGACCGTTAAATCGCATGGTTCTAATCAATCCTGGCTCGCCTGATAGTAGTCCATCCTGGTCTAGTCGCTGATTCAACGCCGCTGGTAAGAGAAAAAGCGGGAAGGGTGTGGCACGTGAACAATGTCTGAATGCGGCACAGTTGCGCTACTAGCCGTGGACAGCTGCAACCTTGGAAGCCTGAGGCTGCCACGCTGCCTCGGCTTCAATCTTGCTATCACCACTATCGCTGATCCTGATCACGTAAGCCCCATCAATCAAAAGAACGCCCCCCCGCCATCAGCCGGTAAATACCGAACTCAAGTTTTTTTTGGGAATATCCGTACTAAGCAATCATGATTGATGTAACCGTTACGGATCTTTCGCGGCGACGAAGTCACTTCTCATCTTCAACGTACTGCAATTACAACCAATAATATTCATTATGCTAAGAAATCCTTCAACAAGGGTTTTGAGGAGGGCTCTTTCATCTCAAAGACCTATATCCAATGTTTTGCCTGCTTTCCGCTCAAGAAGTTTGGCTACTGTAGTGGAACCTATACAAAAGGTACAAATGAAGTCCAAATTTCTCATCCCCTTCGCCTCGACTAACATGAGACACATATAGGATCCTGCCGAGTTGGATCAAATCACTACCCTTCCCAATGGAGTCCGAGTCGCAACTGAAGCTTTACCCGGTCACTTTTCCGGCATTGGAGTATACATCGATGCAGGGTCCAGATACGAAAATGAAGATCTCAGAGGGGTCAGTCATATAATGGATAGATTGGCATTCAAGTCGACGTCAAAGAGATCAAGCGATGAGATGTTAGAATCAATAGAGTCACTGGGGGGAATATACAATGCGCGTCATCAAGAGAATCTTTGATGTATCAATCTGCCACATTCAACTCTGCGGTCCCAACTACTGTCGCTCTTCTCGCCGAGACAATTCGAAATCCTTTGATCACTGAGGAGGAGGTTTCACAACAATTAGTGACTGCTGAGTATGAGATTGGCGAGATTTGGTCAAAGCCAGAGTTAATTCTTCCGGAAATCGTACACATGGTTGCATACAAGGGAAATACTCTTGGGAATCCTCTATTGTGCCCGAAAGAACGACTTTCCGAGATCAACAGCCATACCATACAACAATACCGAGATACTTTCTATAGACCTGAAAGAATGGTTGTAGCATTTGCGGGGTACAACATGAAGAAGCAGTAAAACTCGCTGAACAGCATTTTGGAGATATGCCAAAATCAGCTCCCATTTTATCACAAACAGGATCGGAAACGTCTCTTGATTCATTATCAGGTGAGACTAGCAGCGACAGCTCTATATCATCATCTTCCTCATCAACACCACCCTCACCAACACAAAAGCCATCCACCTTAATATCACGCATGCCATTTTTCAAGAACATCTCCACTTCTGCACCCAAAAATGCCTCTGTTCAAAATGGTTTCCTAAATCCTCTTAACCTTCACGAACCTTCACGCTATACAGGTGGATTTCTTGCCCTCCCAACGCTTCCACCGCCAGTGAACCCTGCCCTTCCCGCGCTCAGCCATATCCACATCGCATTCGAAGCTCTTCCCATTTCTTCCCCCGACATTTACGCCCTCGCTACTCTTCAAACTCTTCTTGGCGGTGGTGGATCCTTCTCTGCTGGTGGTCCCGGCAAAGGCATGTATTCTCGTCTTTATACCAACGTTTTAAATCAACACGGTTGGGTCGAATCATGCATGGCTTTCAACCACTCTTACACCGATTCTGGACTTTTTGGAATCTCATCTTCATGCTCCCCAGGCTACGTCAAGAACATGCTTGATGTCATGTGCCGTGAACTTCAAAGTCTTACTCTCGATTCTGGATTCAGCGCATTACAAACTGCAGAAGTTAATCGTGCGAAGAATCAGCTGAGATCAAGTTTATTGATGAACTTGGAATCGCGGATGGTAGAATTAGAAGATTTAGGAAGACAAGTACAAGTACACGGAAGAAAGGTTGGAGTCAGAGAAATGTGCAAGAAAATTGAAGAATTAACCGTCAAAGATCTTAGAAGAGTAGCTACACAAGTCTTTGGAGGTCTCGTAAAAAATGCAGGAGAAGGAAGTGGTAGTCCAACAGTGGTGTTGCAAGAAGGTGAAGAAGAAGGAAGAGTATACAAAAATTTCAGCTGGGATGATATTCAAGATCGGATTCATGGGTGGAAATTGGGAAGTTGGTAAAAAAAAAAAAAAGGAAAAGAGGAAAAAGAGCATTTTTATCGTATGTATCGGGTGGAGAATAGGATCTCTTCTCCATGTAAGTTGGGGTGTTTCTTGTATGATATTGATGGATGATGTGATGATTTGACAGGCATTTAAATGCGTGTGTGCATATGTGGCGTTTTGTTTTGTGTTTTGATTACTAGGTATTTGGGAAGAGAAGAGGAGAGGAGAAGGATGGAGGAAGGAAGGAAGGATGAGAGTCGAACAATGAAGAGCGGGAGAGGAAAAAATGGAAAATGAGAAAGCTCTCCTGAGATTTCTATTTGCTAGTCGTAGGGTGAATGCCCGGAGATTGAGAGATATGGAAGAGGAAAGAAGAAACACACACACTCAATCAATCAATGTAGAAATAGAAGAAGCAAACGAAAACACTTGTGGAATAATGAATATGTCAGTCAATACCCCTTTTATATTTCGCTTCAGCTTTGGAATTTGTTGGAACTTTTTGGACTGGGATGGTTGGATGCATGTAGTGTTGTGCTATTGAGCATTGAGTATTGAGTATTGAGTATTGAGTATTGAGTATTGAGCATTGAGTATTGAGTATCGAGTATTGAGTAGTATTTTTACATGTTTATATGTATAAACTATGAACTATGAACTATGAATGCGTGTATATATATTTATTCATTTCAAATATCTCCATAAACAGCCTATATAAATATAATCACCAATATGAACACACATCACTTTTCTATGATACTACTTGAGTAAATAACCCAATCCTTGCGAATTTCTTTGGAATGCTCATCTTGGTTTGTTGGATTGAATGGATGGGATGGGATTGAATGGATGGGATGGGATGGATTGCATTGCATTGCATTGCATTATAAGATATATCGGGTTTGAATATAATTAGGTAAAGAGGGGTGTGGGGTTTGTGTGGATTGTAGATGGGGATTGGAGATTCTATTGGAGATTCTATATGGAGTTTTGAAAGGGGTATGAATGTTGATGGATAGGGATGGGGATGGAGATGGATGGGGATGTGGATGGATGGATTGTAAATTTGGGCGAATGGGATTGGTTGTGAATGTATATAATTCTTGATGGGTTTGTATATCGAGAATCGAGAATCGAGAATCGAGAATCGAGAATCGAGAATCTAGGGGACAGGTATTAGATTGTTGGTTTGCTTTGTTGGTTTCATAGGTTTGCTGGTTTGTTAGTTTATTAGTAGGTTGGTAGGTTGAATGTATTGCTCGCTTGTTTAGCGGGTTTAGTTGGGTCTAGTCGTTGAGTAGTCAAGTATCCTTTTGGGGGGCACACGGGGGGGGATGGAAATTGGATTGGAATTGTTGTGTAAGGAATGATATATAATGTGTGATAGAATTTGTTCGTGGGAGTTGAGAGTATGAGGGTATGAGGGTACTTACTTTTCTTTACTTTTGTTTATTTACACACTTACTTAACTTATCTTGACTCAACTCAGCTCACTCAACTCTTTATGTGATTATGATGGAGAAGCGAAAGGAGAAGGAGAAGGAGAATGTAGCTAGAGGTGGAAACTAGAGGTGAGAGCTAGAGGTGAGAGATTTTGACTATACATATACATCTACATATTCTACATATTCTACATATTCTACATATTCTACATATTCTACATATTAATAGTGGTATCATACTTTAGATCGAGTAAGGAGGGAGTTTGCTGGAATAATAAATTCATATATGTTAGGAATTGAGTAGGAGATGGGAGATGGGTTGTAATATACTATATACTGGGTAGGAAAATCATTAGATAGGTATCTATCTATGTGTACTCACTCAGTATCCCGAATCGAGCTTAGAGTGGCAGGGAGTGTCTCGCTTATGTGCTTATGTGGTGTGGTGTGGGAAATGATGACTACAGGTATTTAGGCTATTTGTGATGAGAGTAAGGTTTTGATTGATCTACTTTTTTGGTGATTTGGTGGGGAGAGGGGAGGGGAAAAGATGGATGCCTGCTAAAATTTGGTTGCCTGCTTGTATTGCTGTCGTCATCTGTTGACGACGCATTTTAGGTTTGGGTTTGGAGATGAAGGTAGATGGATTTTTTGATTTTGGGTATTGGTTTTTTGTGCAGTGTGGTTGGTGAGAATTCTTCTGCCTGTAAAAAAAAAGCACCGGTGTCTTGTCTTGGTTTCTAGGTTCGAGAGACGGGGAGTATGGTATACGAAGGCAGATGAATTTTTGTAGAATTGATGAGATTCTTCTGTTGGCGAGGAAGGCATCGGTTTTTGTCTTGGTTCCTGGATTTGAGATTGCGCGAGTAGAGGAAGGGATGAGGTGATTTGTAGGTAGGTACCTTGCTTTTGAAGACATCGTGCGCATGCTTATGGGGTTGTGATTTTCTGTAAGAGGATGTATATATATGTAAACTCCGGTTGCTATCGATTAATTTCGTTCCTCAATACTCATCGACAATAGCCTACACACGGGGATATCAGAATCGAATCTTTGGATACTCAATGATGTCAAGTGGTTTACCTACTTGAGATTATTCTTCCTCACTATGGAAATTTATTCAAATGAATCTCTTCAACTAAGAAGACGTAACGAAACTGGTCGTGTGGACGATGGTAATTTCGGACCTTTTTACAAAGTCCCTGGGAAAGCAACATTCGACTTCACACTCCTCTTCGAAGAAACCATTCTCTCAATCGTACCTTCAGTTCTCTTATTATTCCTAGTACCACCGAGAATTCAGCACCTATGGAAATCTCCACGAAAAGTAATCAGAAGCCATATTCTCACCACAAAAGTCGTAAGTTCCAGGTACATATCCTCACTCATCACTTTCTCCTGACGAAATAGATTCTGCTCTCCATCTTCAGCATCCTCCAAATCGTGAACGTAATCACAATCTCTCACTCTCCCCTCAAAACACGTGCCTCACTACCCGCGGCTCTCCTCGCACTCATCGCCACCCTTGGTTTGTGCATTCTATCTTATTTCGAACATAGTAGGAATGTTCGTCCCAGCTCGATCATCAACGCATATCTTTTCTTCACGTTACCATTCGATGCCGCACAGTTGCGAACAAGGTGGCTGCGCGGTGATAATGTAGCGGGTAATGCGATTTCAACGTCTATTTTGGGAGTTAAACTCCTGCTTTTGATTTTGGAAGCGAAGGGGAAAAGAAAGATTCTTTTCCAGAGATATGGGTATCTTTCGACGGAAAGTACGAGTGGATTGTTTGCGAGAAGTTTGTTTTGGTGGCTGAACCCGCTTTTTAGGTTGGGGTTCGGAGGGGTGGTAAGAGATGAGGACTTATTCGTGGCTGATGGAGAGTTGTTGTCGGATGCTTGTGAGGATAGGTTGAGAAAATATTGGGAAAAACGTCTGATATCAACTTTTTGTCATGGTTTCGTCGGAGAATGCTGATAGATGTATAGGCACGAAATATCCTCAAAATCACACTTTGATGTGGGTAATGCTACGAGCAATGTTAGGACCGCTTACTGCATCTATTCTACCACGTCTAGCATTAACATTCTTCCGCTTTATGCAACCCTTCCTCATCAATAAAATTGTCTCTCTCGTTAGTAATACCAACTCCGAATCATCCAACAATGGCTGGGGCCTAATCGCCGCTTCCGGACTCATATATATTGGTCTAGCCCTCACAACAAGCGCATCTCAACACAAGGTCAATCGCATGACGACTATGGTACGAGGCGCTCTCATCAGCGCCATCTATTCCCACACTCTCGAACTCTCCCTACCAAATCTCGACCAATCCGCAGCAGTGACTCTTATGTCTTCAGATGTCGAACGTATCTGTGTCGCCTTACAGCCGATCCATAATCTCTGGGCTAGTCCCCTCGAAATCGTACTAGCGATTTGGTTATTACAAAGGGAGATCGGCATTGCACTTTTAGGACCATTATTCGTAACGATAACAGCGGTCTCGGGCCCGTTTTTCATGGCGAAATATATGGGTGCTGCGCAGAAGCTTTGGATGGATAGGATTCAGATGAGAATCGATACGTCGGTGAAAATGCTGCAATCTATAAAGGGAGTTAAGATGTTAGGTCTTAGCGAGAGAACATCGAGCGTTATTTCTCAACTGAGAGAAAATGAGATCAGGAATTCTCTGAAAATGAGGAGGTTATTTGTGGTTATGATTGCTTTTGGTAATGTGTCTGATATTTTCGCGCCCGGTGCGGCTTTCATCATATATGCTATTGTGGCATCGGTGAATGGGAAAGTTCTGGATGTTTCATCGGCATTTACTGCGTTGTCGCTTATTGCGTTGCTGGTTGCGCCTATTCGAGCGATTGTGTTTGCGGTTCCACCGCTTATTGCTTCGGTGGGATGTTTAGATCGTATTGAGAGTTTTCTTACTTCCGCTACGAAGAGGGATCATCGTCTTGTATCACAGCGAGTGCAAGGTTTATCAAGTGGCCATACCAGCCTTGGGATATCATCTAGAGATGTATCTGCAAGCTCTGAGATTGAGCTGGAGATTACGATGGTGAGAGCAGACAAGTCAGAATCACCGGCAACGATTGCTGTCAAAAATCTATTTCTCGCTTGGTCAACTGAGTCCCCTCCAGTCGTTACCGATGTATCGTTTTCCATTCCACCCGCCACCCTAACAATGATCATCGGACCAATTGGCAGCGGGAAATCCAGTCTTCTCAAAGGTCTTTTAGGAGAAATCCCTTCGACAAAAGGAAATGTCTATATCAACCACTCTCAAGTTGCACTTGTGGATCAAACCTCTTGGATTCAAAATTGCAGTATTAGAGATAATATTATCGGGACTAGCGACTATGAATCTGCATGGTATCAAAGAGTCATACATGTTTGTGCTTTGGAGAATGATATTGAAGGAATGATAGAGGGTGATAATACTATTGCGGGATCTGGAGGAGCTGCGCTTTCGGGAGGCCAGAAATTGAGAATCGTATGTTTGATTGATGTTTTTACCGGTATGGTAATGTTTAGAAACTGATATTGTTAGGCACTTGCTCGGGCAGTTTACTCCCGTCATAAAATTTTGATGTTGGATGATGTATTCAGTGGTCTGGATATCGTTAGTGAAGAACAGATTTTTACTCGCTTACTCGGTAGACACGGATTGCTTCGTCAATTAGGTATTACGACTATACTAGTTACTCATGCGGCACATCGTTTATCGTATGCGGATGATATAATCGCTTTGAGTGTTCGTGGTACAGTCGCGGAACAAGGAACATTTTATGATCTAACTAGGAAAAATGGATACGTATCTAGTCTTGCAACGAAACGGGTGATAGAGGAAGACACGTCTAAAGAGTCTGAATCTGTGGATATGAAAGATGATGATACAGCGAGACAAATCGCGTGTGCGGATCTCGAGCGTCCGATTGGGAGCTGGGCGACTTATCAATATTATTTTGAGAGTTTGGGATGGTGGAATATGGGAATGTGGACGGGGATGATAGTTTGTTATTCTTTACTATTGCAATTTCCTAGTAAGTCAAGCCACTTCTATTCAACCTTGAGCTTGTTTGCACACATACTAAAGGTTCAGAACTCTGGATTAAATTCTGGACAAGTGCCATTGCCATTCATGGAAGTTCAATCAATGGTTTCTACCTCGGTATACTCATAGCTGTTGAGGTAGCATCCATGCTTCTACTCATGATCCTCACCAGCATACTTCTCTTGAAAATGATCCCCCAGTCCGCCACCATCTTACACACCGCACTTCTCACCACCATTTCTAACGCCCCTCTCTACTTCCTCACCAAAACAGACACAGGATCAATCATCAACCGCTTGAGTCACGACCTCTCGGTCCTCGATTCAGAACTCCCCATTGCGTTCCTAATCGTCATTAACAACATTTTCACATCTCTCATCCAAGCCCTCCTCATCTGTATCTCTGCCTCCTATTTCTCCCTCGCACTCCCTTTCATTCTCATCCTAATTTACCTCCTCCAAAAGTACTATCTCCGCACCTCTCGACAAATCCGCCTCATGGATCTCTCATCCAAAGCACCCCTCCACACACATTTCCTCGAAACCCTCACTGGACTCCTCACCATCCGCGCATTCGGTTTCCACACTGTCATGCAACAACGCCATGCAAAGCTCCTAGATAATTCCCAGAAACCTTTTTACCTACTCTATTGCATCCAAGTATGGTTAATGCTCGTCATCGATCTTTTGGTTGCCGCTCTGGCGATTCTGCTCGTCGCGCTAGTGGTGAAATTGAGATATACCACTGATGCGGGTCTAGTAGGTGTGGCGTTGGTGAATATTATGGGATTTAATACTACGCTTTCGGCGGTAATTATTCATTGGACGGCGACGGAAACGAGTGTGGGAGCGGTGGAAAGGATCAGATCGTTTGTGCGTGGGACTCCGGACGAAAATCGAAAAGAAGATGAGGATACTGAAGAGGGAGAGACAGAGGTAGAGGTACCGGAAGATTGGCCCAATAGAGGTGCAATTCGAATTCAGAACGTAACAGCATCATATTCCAAAGACCAAGAACCATGCTTACGAAACATCAATCTTGATATTCCCGCAGGTCAAAAAATCAGTATCTGCGGTGCTTCCGGCGCGGGAAAATCATCTTTCATCGTGTTACTTCTGCATATGCTGGAAGTACAGCAGGGATCAATAATGATCGATGGGATTGACATCCTCAAGATTCCACGACAAATTTTGCGAGAACGTATGGTTGTTATACCGCAAGATCCAGTTTTTGTCAACGGTTCGATTCGCCAGAATCTCGATCCCTTTTCTCTGCAACAGGATGATGTGGAAATTATAGCTGTTTTAGAGAAATTGGGACTTTTTCTTCCTGGAGTGATTGAGATCGAGGGGCTTTCTGATGACTTTGATCCGTATTTGTTATCGCATGGACAGCGACAACTCTTTTGTCTGGCGCGTGCGGTGCTAGGGTATAGATGGATAGCGAGGGTGAAGAAGAGGTGTCCGATTGTGGTTATGGATGAGGTGAGTGCGAGTGTGGATGTGGAGACAGAGGAGGTGATGAAGAGGATTGTGGGGGAGGAGTTTGGAAGAGCGACGGTGCTAGGGGTTGCGCATAGGGAGGGCATGGTTCGGGCGTGCGAGAGAATGGTGGTTTTTGCGAAGGGGAGAGTGTTAGAGGGTAGTAGGAGGAATTGAATTGTTTTGGGGTGTGAGAAAACACAGAGAAGTAGAGAGGGGGGCGGAGATAGAGAGAATCAGATTATCAGAGAGAGGGAGAGAGAGTTTAGAGTGCAAAGATTGTTGTATGTTGGATGGGAAAGTATTGTGGAAAGCTTTATCTAGAGAATATTTAACAGAAGCCAATCTACCATAGCAATGTCAGTAGAGTAACAAAGATGGAATCTCATGCGTTGAAAAGTTTTTTACTATCAGAAATAAGAGCGCTTTCCCATCAGAGCAGATTTATCATCTTTCTATTGATATTCTCACTGAATATCAAATTATCAACCAACTTTTCAAATCCCAAACATAGAATTAATCCGTTGATATTCTCAAAATACTAATAGTCGGCTCATTTGTAAAATCGATCCGTTTCTAGCAGACCCCATACCTCGAACCTCAAAGCTGAGCAACGATATACCTCTAGGTCGAGTTTACATGCAACTAGATTTGATAGATATGACTAAATAGAATATCATCGGTAGGCATCATCTCTCATCGATAGTTATCTATAGCTTCTCTTCCATCCTTTATACTTCTCAATCTCATTTGAACTTGTCAATCTCTACCTTTTGAATCTCTGTGGACACTTCATGATATCGAATAGTATCTATACATGGCTTGAAGCGCTTAACAGTACGTCTGAGTCTCTTGTATCATATGATAGAGCACTTGAAAATCTGTATATGATATAGAATTTTGTGGGAGTGAAGGAAGAAGATGCTTTGTAGGCAGAAGTGTAGGGTCAATGGGATACTTGATATCTGATCTCTTGAGTAGCTGTTCTAAGTTCCATTTAGCTAGAGGACCGCCTATTCGTGGGAGAATTTGGACAGTCTTTAAGTTATAATGCTATTTAGAGTATCAACTGGAAGGGGACAATACAATAGAAGTATTGAATGGTTTCGCTAGTAGAAACTCCGGCCTTCTCTCTCACCGAGTGGCTGTCGCCCCTCGGCATGAATAATATAAACAAGATTTAAAAATCTGATTCCTCTTTCAAGAGTGAAGAATTAGTCAGTAAATCAATTTCTCGTTGTCAAAGTTCGAAACCCAAAGACTTGAAAGTTAATAATCGATAGAAATACGAATTCTACTATATTTTCAACGCACTTTTAGAGCAAATTTGACAGCACGAAATTGAAGTGATGTTGAATATTCTTTGAGTTTTGAAGTTTAGTCATTCTTAACCTTAGCATCGAGGATCCTCCTGATCTGTCAGATCAAAAGACCCTTGATTTCTAGATTCTAGATTATAGTTTAACATCCTGTTTTCCCCGTCCACCCCGAGGGTCCGAGAGTGTCGAGGTTTCATGAACTAGTATGTCACATCCGATGTATACCCCTATCACAGCCGATTACCCTGCATTCATCCCATTCTACAAGATTTAAGTTTAAATGTAGAGTTACATCGAACCATAACAACATATCGTATGGTATCCAATCACATTCCTCGGAATCTGTTGAATTGATATATTCTAAACACTCCTTAGGTACTTGCCAGTTCGCGCTTTGTGAACAGTTTTTCCACAAGTACCACGGCGTCGATTAGTTGAATAGCTATCCCCCATTTTGATCATCGCTTTAGAACACTCGACGAGCTGGATAGGTACACCTGCTACCTACGTATACCTACCTACTCAACCATTCCTCGCTGTACAAGTGCACCTACCACCTTGATGAATACTAGGATGTTTTTTGCCCTGGCATATCTGACAAGGGCTCTGTTTACTTATTGAAAAAGTTTAAATCTTATCAGATAAAAGTATATTCCTATATACTGAGAGCTCTAGACCTTTTCTACTTACAAATATACCTTTTAGAAGGTAGGTATACTCGTACTTGTCCTGTCAAAAATTGTACAACGTCGCTAAGAAGAAAAGTAGGTTAGTTGTCATATTATACTTTATCATCTTGCAGTATACACATCTAGCTTCGGAGTTGTGTACATTTTTACGGCACGAGAGCCTCCTTGATAATGAACGAGGCGATTCCTGATCAGAATCGGCTGAGAAAGAGCTTCGATTGGATTGTGAGATGCCGGTGGGATTCAAGGGTCGATATCCGTAGAAGAAGAACTATTTTAGGTGAAGGGGTTTGTAATTTTACATCGAGTTTCGAAATTCGATAGTTTGGGGGGTGGCGAGGGATTAGATCAGGTTTATAAGATTTGGTCTTGATTTTTCTTCTTCTCTGGTACAGTTTCTATACATACAGGATTACAAGGCAATAATAAAGAACTCGACGTTGATGAGATGGTTGATATTCGCTTCGATGAATTCAAGACATCGACTTCAGGTTCGGAACTATATAACCGCTTTAAAAAGCTAAATCATCTAATATGAAATTATGGAGTTATTAGATGAAAGGAATGATGAGGCGAAGATAGAAGTCTTATGCGAGTCCGACGTGATCAGTTCCGTGACGAACCACGTTATTTGTGGAGTCAGAAAGACTAAAAGTACCAAGGTACAAAGCTCCGCTGCTAAGAAAACTAGGGCTCCATCAGGACGAAAATACTAGGATCTCAAAATCGTCGTTCCCTTCTCAAAATTGTATATATTAAATGATTGCGTAAGTATCTTGAATTAATCTTCCGTACTTGTGTAGACATAGAAATATGTGAAAGTTTATTCTCTCTTAGATTGCTGAAACTCTTCGATCAGAAGTCTTATCAAATCAATTCCAATGGCTATTTGACTTTAAAATAAAGGTGTGATCACACCTTTCAAGATCATGATCTTGAAAGATGCTTGATCTTTGACGTGTTTGATGTTCCGATTTTCCCGTCTTGATCTCATGGTGCCGGGTTCCTAGATAGTCAATTAGCCCTCTTGTCGAGTGCGTCTTGCGGTATGTGCATCTAGGTTCGGGGGATCCATAAGTCAACTTGGAAAAGCAAATACTTTTGAACTTTTGATATTGGAAATAATCGCTGCTAATGCCCCCACATGGCTTAATGTGGACGGTGGAGACGTCATCTCATTTCCTTGCTGGTACTTGAATTTCGAATCGAGCGGTGTTGAAGGATAAACCCCTATCGAACTACATGGGCCCTAGCTTAGTTTAACTTGCTTTGGCATTTTCTATTTTGCCTAATTGAGCCAACGTGCTTTTTCTCCCACTTCTGAAGATTGATGGGATGAACTTTTCGATTTATTAACCTTTAAACTTTTCTGACTGGTTGTCTTTATTTTCTCCGGAGTTTGCACACAGGTTTGGTAGACAGAGCCGTCACCGGGTATGGAATGGTAAAACTGGGGTACATTAGCACTCTGTAACTTGCATGTTTCCCCATTGTGTTCGCAAGCCACATACCATAAATTACCCGACTCTTCGGGCTGCATGAATCATTTACCGCTTCTAATTGTTTGTATGTGAGAATAATTTTGTTATACCTACCTGGGCCCTGGGTAGCTAGAGTCTAGAATAATGAGAATACCAAATTTTCTTTTCTATATAATATATTTAGTAGTTTCATTTGTAGTTGATTTATGGTTCTAATTTAATCGGAGAGATAGTGGTTCTCATTTCCGATGCCTCTTTTCTTTTGTTCCCGAGTGCCCGAGTCTTCCTGCACGCTCACCCCCACAGATTTCTAGTCTCTGAAACACCATCAACCACCACCCTAATCTTTTGGGCGGCCCCACCACACGTGTGATTGGAATCATTGGATCATCTTAGATTAAACAATGCGAGCCAAGATGGAATATAAAAAACACGGAACATTTCTGGGGCACACGTGGTAGTTGCAAAGTCCACCGGAACATTTACAACGGACATTATTTTTGTTCGGCAGATAGGAGAACCGTTAGGCTAAAAGGGGGAACCCTGGCCATAGGTGGGATTACTTTTGGACTGTAGAGTAAAAAGCATTCTGACTCTGTAGGAGGGCATAACAACTAGCGAAAGTGGATAGTGTGAAAGGATCAGGAGAGGAAAACATGGAAAGGTTCAACGAGCTTACCCTCAAGGGTAGGGATACTATGGACCATAGCTAAGCCAAGATTTCTATTCCATGCAACGATATCAATTAGCCGCTTGGTGCAACTTGTTCGTACTGTTGTATTCCGTGTACCCAGGAGTACTCCTGAAGAATTTGTATAAAGCCATCTCTTAGCCATCTCTTAGCTATCTCTTGGCCAGCTCTATCTTCCAACACTTCTTCTCACATCCTTCTTGGCTATCTTAGTTGATCAATCTAACCGCACAATCATGCCTTCCACCAAGTCCATGGCAGCTATGCTGCTCTCCGCCATGACATTGGCACCCGCCTTGGCTAACCCTATTGCGGCCCCAATGCCAACCGCTGCCCCAAGCCCTGTCGACGTTGAATCTGCCTTTGTCGAGCGCAACATCGAGAAGCGTGCCGCAACCTGTACCTTCAGTGGCTCTCTCGGTTACTCCTCCGCCAGTAAATCTAAGGCATCATGCTCAACTATCATCCTTAAGGAATTGACTGTCCCCGGTGGTGTCACTCTTGACATGACCGATCTCCCTGATGATACTACCGTCATCTTCCAAGGAGAGACATCATTCACCTACAAGGAGTGGGAAGGACCACTTTTTGCCGTCAGCGGAAACAACATCAAGGTCGCAGGATCCAACGCCGACACTGCCATTCTTAACGGAAATGGTGCTTCTTACTGGGACGGTGAGGGTGGAAGCGGTGGCAAGACTAAGCCAAAGTTCTTCCAAGCTCACGACTTGACCGATTCGCTTATTGAGACTCTTACCATTCTCAACCCACCTGTTCAGGTTTTCAGTATCAACGGTGTTTCAAACCTTGAATTGGCTTACATCACTGTCGATGCTTCCGCTGGTGATGCTTTGGGCAAGAACACCGATGCTTTTGACATTGGTGCTTCCGACACTGTCCTTATTGGTATGTTAGATCGAAATGCCTCAGTCCAGCATTAATGCCGTACTAATTTATTGCACAGAGTACGCCACTGTCTACAACCAAGATGATTGCGTTGCTATCAACTCTGGAAGCGTATGTCCACAATCCACCATGCCCCTCACTGTCCCCAAGTCCCACTAACATTGATATTCAGCACATTACCTTCAAGAATGGTTACTGCTCAGGTGGCCACGGTCTTTCCATCGGATCCGTAGGAGGACGTGATAACAACACCGTCGATACTGTCTCTTTCCTCGACTCCACTGTCACCAAGTCCGTCCAAGCTATCCGTATCAAGACTATCGCCGGTGACACCGGATCCGTCAACAACGTCGAATACGATGGCATCACCATGAGCAGCATCTCCAAATACGGTATCCTCATCGAGCAAAACTACGATGGTGGTGATCTCCACGGAGATCCTACCACTGGTGTCCCCATTACCGACTTGACCATCAAGAACATTGTCGGTACCGGCGCTGTCGCCTCTTCCGGATATGATGTCGTTGTTGTCTGCGGTAGTACCTCTTGCAAAACCTGGACTTGGTCTTCTGTTGCCGTTACTGGTGGTAAGACATACGCTTCTTGCCAGAACGTCCCAACTGTTGTTGGTGGTTGCTCTTAAGCGATCAATAAAAGGAATTCTGGAGCTTTTTAGCCGAAGATCATTTTAAGCTGCATGGAAAGTTGAAAGATAGAGAACCCTTTTTAGGCTCTTTGATCTGAGTTGTACATATCATATTCTCTTCGCTATACATATTTAGAATTCTATTTCTTGAACTATATTGCCATTTATAAGTATCTTGAAACAGTAATAGCTGTGCATTGCGACTTTTGATCATGACCTTTGTGGTAGACATGAATGCAAAAACCAGTGCTCAGACCCCAGTGCCAAAGTATCCTATCTTTGAACATCATTGTGATGATGAAGTTATCAAGCAGATGTATAGCCTAAATGTTCGTGGTATGGTCTTCGAAAGCAGCGTTGCATACACACCCTGTAATGTTGTAAGTCTCAAAGTTTTGGTAATTGTAAGGTTATACACATATTCGAAGGTGTCTAGCAATGTCGCCAGAGGCAAGATATATTTTTGAAGTAGCGAGTCTCATTGTAGGTAACATCTGGCTCTTCATCGACAAAATTGTCGATATATATAAAACCCTTATAGACTGAGAAATGACATGATTACTCTCAAGTACTGCTTGTGTAAGAACTTGACCTAGAATAATTTATTCCATGAAGTCTTGCTCGGCTGGCTGGGTCTTCGATCTGTTTGTTGCATGGTAGTCGAGGTTGATGATGCTCGTGGGTCAAATCAAATGGCGGTGAACCCATGACAAGCGCCTAAGCTCTTCAGCGCTGCATAGTCACGTGATTGGAGTCTATGAGCCCGTGCGGCCCTGGAAACATCACGATCCTCCTCCTAGAATTTATTATTACATCTGATTTCGAATTTCAACCGGAATCCAAGCTTTCATCTTTATTTCTATTTTCGTAAGTATAATATAACCTTTTTTTCTTTTTGAAAAAAAATAAAAATTCTTTGTCTTCCCTGCTTCCTAGGTTCTCTATTGCAAAGTGTAATCTGCTAGAACTCGTTCATATCTGGTTGGATGACAATATGAATAGAGGGCGCCAGTGGAAGTGGGAGGTGGAAAGTCAAGGGTGTTCATCTTGATACGCTTCTTTGTCTTTTATTTCCTCTATTAAAATCTGTCTAATATCTATTTTATAGTCTCGAACATTACATAGATCAAATTACTGTCTTTGTATTCGAAGAGATTAAGAAAGGAAAAGAACTCAAACTCCCCTCCCTCTAAGTACCACTCAAAAAGGCTTAAAGGCAAAAAAGAGGAATTATTTTGATTGTATTTGGGATTAAACTCCTTACTCTTCGTTGATCAAGTCAAAGATACTATTTCTTCAATCCTCCTACGACTCCAATTCTCTCTACCTCCTTATACTCCACACTTCCCGCCGTGCAACCTGCTAAAACTCTTTCCCACTCCCCTACATCTTTAATCTTGACACATTCCTCTGCAGCCTTTACTCTCATCCCGCACTTTTCCCAAAGTTCCACAATCTCCTTTCCTTTGACTTCCCCTTGCGCTCTTATCTTCTCCACAAAACTCCCTGCCAGTTTTTGATTTCCAGCATTCAGGATAAGTGTATAGAATGGCAACCAGCCGATTGGAGATTTACGATTTTTAGATATTTCTTCGAGAGCGGACCAATCGCGTTTTGAGACAAGAGCACGGAGACGTATCCATGTAGATGTTTTTTCCGGCATTTTGAATTCTGTGGTGAGTTTTTTGGCACGCGAAGTGTAGCCTAGTTTTATTAATTTGAAGAGAGTTTCGTTCAGGGAGAGACCTGTAAATGATTCTGTGAGGTCGCGGTCAAGAGATTCTTGCATTCTCAACAGTAGGGAAGCTTCGTGGAGAGCTCTGAGCTCGAAAGATGTTTCTTTGGAGTCTGAGAGGAGTTTTGCAGCAAGTGCGAGTTTGTCGGATGCAGTGCGTGAATCGGGTTGTTGGAGAGCTTCGCGGATAAAGACGTTAGCACCATCAACACGACGATCGTCTTGGTAGTATAGATCTTTCAGGAGAGACGAATCTTCTGTTCGCGCTGAGGATTCGACAAGGGAGGTAGCGATGGGTCGAGTGTTTATTACGCGGAAGAAGGAGGCAAGGGGGAGAGACTTTTTGAGATGTAAAAGTACGTAGATTATTAGATCTGAGTCTCCGGATTCGATAGCCTTGTCGAGAGCGATTTCATCTTCTTCCATGGAGAGAAGAAGGGGTACTTGTTTTCCGGCGCGAGGTTCGTGGTTTAGGAGGGCGGTGGCTAAACGGCCGCGCCCTTCGTCGTAGGCTGCTCGGGCAATTTCTTCAAATGAAATGCCGCGTTTGCCGGAAAGTTTTTCGACAATTACGCGACAGATTGTGTCTTCATCTTCGGATCCTATACGGACTTTCTGGGAAGCCCAGTGCACATAGATTCTGTCGGTTGGAAGTCGTAGATAATCGGAGATCTTGAGTGCTAAGAGATATTCTCGACGGTTGATGAGACGTCTAACAAGATTTTCGGGAGTTAGGCGTAAAAATTGTTCGTATGACAGAGGTATGCCAATTTCGTAATATCGAACAGCGTTCAGCACTCGGAGTGTTTCGGTCATATCTACAAAATCATCACTGTTGTAGATATCAAGCACCGATTTACCGAATGAAGCAGCCTTGAGAAGTTGTTTCTGCCAATGGATGTTGAATTCATGACCAGCTGCTTTGACCTAAATGCGGTAAGCTATGAATTCAAAATTCTGTGTAAGATTACTTACACAAGTATCAACTGCCTCTACTAAGTGAGGTCTAATCAACTGTATGTTATCATCTGCTTTTGGAGACTGCTGCTCCAACTGCTCGACTGCATCCAATAATATCGAGGCTGGCGATTCTGTGCCGAACCGAAAGGTTTCGTCGGTTACTTCCGGTACTTTTTGCAAAAAATCACAAACATCATTGGTTATCAAACGAACGCCATCATGATCTATTCAGTGGTTAGCTGGAGGCCTAACCAACTCCAGGGGGTTACAAACCAGCAATTACATGAACTCGACCATCATAATAAAATTTTGCGGCAGCATTTTTAGGGCCAATGAGATGTACTTCATCCTCCCAAGCAACAACTACTGCATCATTGCCACACCATTGGACGTCTTTGGGAGGAGTTTTCGATCTGGAGTTGTATTCACTCAATCTGCTTTGGAAGTCGCTCGTGATGACATATGCGTTTCCTGTTTCTGTGTAAAGGGCGACAAATTTTCCATTTGGCGATACACTGATATGAGTGAAGGGTCCGATGTCTAGAAAACGATCTTCGGATTCAGCTGCGTCTACGACGTGTATGGTTTGATCAATGCTCAGAAGAACTTCAACTGATCTAGATAATGTATATGTCGGTGGTATCAGTGTCCATGAATGAACATCGCCTTCTGGGGGCGTTGCTAATAATTTTGGACGTGGCTCTTCATATCTAGATACCGAGATTAGGTGATTATTTGAGAGCAAGGCCACAAACCCGGTGCCGTAGAATCTGTTTCGTTGGTGAGCTCGCAGTCAATTTGAAGTATGTCTAACACAAACCTGCAAGCTATCACACCTAATTCCTCAGCACCATTTCCAAGAGAAAATTGATTAAAATCTCCTTGCAAGTCATAGTAACATCTTACAGTGCCATCAGCGGTGACAACAATAAGCTTTTCGTCTTCGGTCCAGCCGAGGCCTTTAATAGAACCTTGGTCCCAATTGATCCTTCTGATCAGCTTTCCAGCACAACTGTATATATCGATACTAGATTTAGATGCTTGTGATCCTCGAAATGTTTGGAGCTTTGTTTCGTCTCGGTATAGGGCTGAATCAAGTATCATGTAAGCAAATGAAAACATCAAAGTATTGGGCCCACATGCGTTTTTAAGTCTGTAGACTCAGAAATCCGGTAATTTCATGTGTCCACTGGGAGCACTAGTTCTAGAGGCTCCGACGGGTGCATGCCACTCAGTAGATGAGGTGTCGCAATCATCTAACTTGCCCCTTGATGAGATTGACTGCAGCACCCGTCGCCTCCCAGATTCTAAGACCCTTTAGAAAGATTAAACAGTAGAGTGACTCTAGTAAAAATAATTTGTTTCCGATATCAAAAAGGAATAACGCAACGCACCAATTGCTCCTCCATATGAGCATCCCGTGACCACGTAGTTTTCGAGCTCTAGGTCCTGGTCAAATACAGCTGTATACAACTGTATCTTCCGATAGAACTTATCCCCCACCTTCTCCCATTCTGCAGTTGGACTTGTCATTTCAATATTGTTTGACTGTTCATTATAGTTGGGATGGTAATTGTTGTTGCTTCGAGTTGCTGGTTCAATCGTGAAGAGCTCCCGGTTTAACATGTGGTCAAAGCTTGACGCTAGTGATCATCAACAACATTCAATGTTATGCGATCGACTTCAGTGTAGATCCGAGTTATGACATCCGACCAGTGAAGCATCCAATTTGTTTCTGTAAATATTCCACCTAAGAAATGGGATTTGGGTGAAACCATTCTCTTCATGGATTGATGGCAGACGAGGAGTTGATCAATAAAATCCACGAGCTCAGCGACTTGGAGCTCGCCGCACTGATATGTTTAGTCGCAGAAGAGCACTGTATCATTGATACAGATCCCGACGCTCTAGGTGATCTCGTACAAGAGTTACAGCTGGTAAATATACCTCCCTTCGATATCCTCGCAAGCTGCTAATGCTTAGTAGGTCGCATCTAAAGTCTTCGGCTTAACCTATGCTGTTATCGATTGCAATAGCCACACCACTCTCGATGATTTTGCACATGCTATTCTTTCCGTTGATGCGGCTCCTACTCGAACCAATTCTCCTGCGATAAGTCGTCGCGACTCTTACTTCCTACAAACGCCCGCTTTTCAATCAATCAATAGACCGCCTGCACCGGAAACGACCGACAATAAAAGGATAGCAAATGTAATCATCGCTAGGAATCTCCATGAAGCGCCGCAGCAGATACAGATTCAAGCATTAGAGCTAATGCGAACGAAACGACTGTTCACAAGGACATCCATACAAAATGCGCCAAAGCGTTTCTTGTTTATTGCTGCTATAGCAGGCGGAGAGGGCCCAAGGTTGACAAAACATCTCAATGATTACATGTTCATTTCCCATGTACATGACCCTGAGGATGGGTTCCCGAACCTAGAAGATATGTTTACGGACGATACTAGTTCCACATTATCAGTCGTGAAAAGGAGTCCAACAATACAGACGGAAGAGAGTTTATGGGCGAGAATATCTCCGATGGTTGGTGGTCAAATGCATGTGGCTGAGTTATTATTACTAATAAGGATGTAGGATATCGAAAGTTTAGCCCAGCAAAGTAAAAATACTACAGTCAGTGTCGAGGTCAAGCAATATCAACAAAACATCGCTTCATTCCTTAGAATTCATCGCGCTGTAGCGACGGGTATATCTGCGATTGCCACAAAGCATTTTGATAAGCTTGTTAGGTAAGAATGACCTAATATGTACACGAAATTTGTTCTGATACCAATCAGATGCCTCGCGCCGTTGCACGGCCTTCCATATGCTACCCCATCTCTTATTGCTCTTGCCGCCAGAAAGATATACCTTCATCGCATTGAGATCGTAAGTCCAGAAAGAGAACGTAGTATGCAGTGGGGAAGTGACTTAGATGCTATTAGAGAAATGTTGGATGGTATAGGACCAGAGGAAGTGATTGAAGATGTGTTGGGTAGTGCAGGGGCCGAGGCTCCCTTGTAGAGTAAATCAACTAATTGAGAATATCAGAAAGTTGATATCAACGGAGTGTTAGTAGCACCTATCAGTCATGATCATAAATGTGTAGCAGTAATGTGACATGGCATATCGGCATATCGGCAGAATGGCCAACGTCGGTCCTGTGATTACAGAAGTTTGAGAGTTTGTACCAGTTCCCAGCCCCATTGATATTCGAATGTGCGCAAGAGGATGCCAAGTGGGATTTTTGAATGGCATTATGTGATGAATTGAATCGTCTCGCGGACTTTGCAATAGTAGTATCTACTCACCACTTCGTTCATACGACTAAACTTCACTTACGTCACACTCGTCTCACCGTCTCCGCTTAATCATGCACACCAAAAGGCATCTAAAATTGAATTTTGAATTCACCCAAAGACAACCACGAGGAATACCAGTCGCAAATTGAATACACTTCTTAAAAAGTTATATGAGAAACAGTTCTATGGCTGCACTCCCAAGGACCAGATCAAGAACAAATGGAAGCTAGCCAATCGTTCGTTATCGAGGCTACTGAACGGGAGTCAAGAATAATAGACAGCTCAGTCATTGAAAATTCTTTGTCGAAGGCTTTCACATAACTCAAACCAACAGCAACGTACTCAGTCTCGGCTTTGGATACCTGGCACCCCTCATTACTACCGCTCTTCTTACCGCCTGTGCATGTTTTGCCAGATTTCGAATCGGTTCTTCATATGCCTTTCAATTCCCCATTCTTTTGGCAAGACTCAACCCTTCTTCTTTCCTCGTCACAAAGCTTGCATACAACAACAATCTTGACTTGTTATTCATCCCATTCTCATTACTGTGACATCATGGCAAGTGACAATTTGCCTTTTCCTGAATTGGTGGCTGATGCAACATCTGCTGAGGTCCGCTTGATCTTAGGAATCCCATTGGAGTATGTATCTAAGGACTTTCTCCCAAATCTTCAAACACACTCTGACAGTTATGCAGCCTAACTTTGACGAAATATCATTGCTTTCCCAGGCTGCCTCTCGAGTTACGTCGCAAAATCTGGCACATTTATTTTGGACCGCAGCTTGGCCGGATTATCGAGATCGAGTGGAATCCGACTCATCCCGTTGACAAGCACCATGGATACAGATCAACAAAAGTATCTTCTCAGACCCCTTTAGGTTTACGGGATCCTCTTTGTCGAGATACTCGGGATGAAATTTTGAAAAAATATCAGCTTTGGCGTTTCGATAATCGTCCTGAAGGACATAACCCGCCATCATGACTTAAATATTTTGATCCTTCTATCGATACAGTCTACTTCGATAGGAAGGCTTGTTTTGGCACAATATGCCTCTTTGTGGACAACTTGCTTAGGCAGGAAAATAACTTTCGCGTGTTGCGATCCATGGCCTCAATGATAGAACTTACTCTTGTTCAAAGGATCGCAGAACGGCCTACAATAGTTATTGTTCTTATGTGACAGGAAGTACCCTCACAATCCCTGGTCAATTTTCAGCCAACTTATATCGTATAAAAATTAACTACAATCGACAGCTAAACTTTGGTTTCAATCCGCTCCATGGCTTTCACATGGAAAAGCTTTCAAACGTCCATAATGGATGGCCTGGCTTGCAGGAGATTATTATCTGCGTTCAGTATTTTCCGCAGGTAGACGAAAACACTACATTTCGACCGCCTACTTACACTGGAACTCGCCATTCACGGATAGATATGTTTAGCTTTAGGTGTATTCAAGAGATAAGAAGGGGCAATTCCCAATTTGATAATTGGACAACAGCTATCCAGCCAAAATTCAGCCCTGCTTGCTTGTCCAAACGCGCTGAACCTGGAAGAGTGTGCGACTCCTTGATAATGACAGGGGGGAGACGTTGAACGGTCCGTCTGGAAAACCTATCGCGAGGAGATAATGAGATTATCAAGTCCATATTGGCGAATGAGGTTTATAAAGCAGGATACTTACTTCCCCTGCTTTCCTCATTTTGAATTGTATGGAACTGAAGAAGCAATCTTCGCTGTGAAAGAAGCTTGCTTGTGAGTCTTCGGTTGTGATAATAATGAGGTTTACTAAATATTTTAGGCTCAAATCGGGAAGTTGGGACGAACATAGGATGGGTGACTGTTAGGATGCATGTTATCTCTCATTCCGAAAATCTGAGCACAACTGAAAACGTTGCATTGCTTGAACCATTTATGAGCCCGGTACAACTCTGATGTAGCGATTGTCAGTCGACGCCATATTTCTCTACCGCCCAATGCTTTGCAAATGCCCTCAGGCGCGCTCGAGACGCGTTAGGAAATCTGATTGTTGCTAAGTCCGACTCGCAGAACTGGTCACCGCGCAGCGGATTTGCGTGATGATATATTTCCTTGATTTATTGCTAAGGACACACCATGGCGTCTAAGATACCCCACCAATCGCTCTAATCTCACACCATATGAAATGCTAACAGCAACCTGACATCGCAACTGAGAACGATTATCACATGGCTGTCAGAAAAATGATGAACGAAAATACATCCATCCCAATTCTGTCATCTATACGCAAGTTGCCTTGTCATGTCTATATATCTGCAACATAATCCAATTGCTATATCAGTATCAGCGACGACGAGGGCATTCCTTCGTTTGGTTCGTCAAATACCAAGATTGAATATCTAAAGGATACTAAATTCAGCAATGACTCGCGGTCCCGAGCATATGCTAAACTCTAGCTTCCCCGCGTCTTGCCTTATGCCCTAGTTTCACAAACTTATGATTATCAATCGTATGAAACCATCGTTACTGTGGAATACGGGCCATAGGATTGCAATTTTAATAGTCTTAAGAACAATATGCCACTTTTTCTCTCTCAAATATGAATGCTAAAAGATTGTATGACTACGCACGATCCCTTTCTTACTTGGACCTCTCCCTTGAGGCTTTTGTAAGCTTTCTAGTTCTATAGTTAGATCTTCCGGTCCTTTCAGCCGAGCTCGATATTACTATTATTATAACTACTGGCGAGATTGAGGATGTACTGTTATATTGATCAACCGATCGAGTTAACATATATGGGGGAAATTGGATAGAGAAAGAGCAGAGTTCTTGAATCTTACTTGAACCTAGTTCACTTCACTTACATCTGATAGGAATTAAATATGATTTATCTTTGGAAGCTTTAAATCAAAGAATTGAAGAGATAAAAGCAAGTGGGGGAGCTCCTCGAACTGGAGCCAATACTATGATATTTCACGTAGTATCTTAATAATCACTTTGCATCTCAAGCACCTCCGGATACAATATCTTCCACACTAGATCCATATTATACGATTCACGTGGTTCTGTGGAGAAAGATCAGATAAAATAATCATGTATAAAGCTCCTTTCCCTCAGCTCTATTCATATTTTTCTCGTGGCAGGAATTCGAATTTGAATTCCATATCATTGACATCCTCACGTTGACCAAATGTCCAAGCGTATTCTCCTCACCGGGGTAAATGGGTTCATCGGCTCGTGGGTCCTCGACCACCTCCTTAGACAAGGCCACTTTGTCCGCGCCATTATTCGCTCCGAATCCAAAGCCGAACGAGTTTCCTCCGATTTCCCTGCCTACGAATCCCATCTTGACTTCGGGATTGTCCCCGATATCACTGCCCCCGGAGCTTTCGACGAGGTGGTCAAGTCTGATCCTTCTTTTGATGTCGTAATACATACTGCTTCTCCATTTCTCTACAAGGTTGTCATGGATAATCGTGAATTTCTTGATCCGGCAATCAGGGGAACAATGGGTGTTTTGGAGAGCGTGAAGAAAAATGCTCCGGAGGTAAAGAGAGTTGTGGTCACAAGTAGCTGTGCTGCGATTATTGATTTTGCGAAGGAGGTTGTTAGTCAGCCGCAAAAAGTCTACACGGAGGAGGATTGGAACCCCACTACATGGGAGAGCGCATTAGAAGGAACGCCGAATAATGCGTATCAGGCCAGTAAAAAGTTTGCGGAATTGGTTTGTAAGATTTCTGTTTGTTGGAAATTCTGATGATAGATCAATACTAATAATTCGATTTTCAGCATGGGACTTCGTGGAGAAAGAGAAACCAAATTTTGATTTGGTAACTTTGACCCCTCCAATGGTTTATGGGCCGTTGAGACATACAATTAAAAGTACAAATGATTTGAATCAATCAAATTTGAGGATCTATAGTGGATTGGTCAATTCATCGAAGGATGCTAACCTACCTCCAAGTAAGTTTCTTCAATATTATGATGATTATGAAAATAATAGCTAATGTGACTAGACGGCCTCCATGCATTCACTGATGTTCGTGTAAGTATAACCTCTCCTCCTTTGAAAGGCCTAAACATCTAAAGAATTCAAGGATCTAGCAGATGCCCATGTTCTCGCTGCAACTCTCCCAGAAGCATCGGGACAACGTTTCATCGTTTGTGGAGGTCAAATATCATCTCAAAATATCAGTGATATTCTTCGCAAGAATATTCCAGAATTGGAAGAAAGAACGCCAAAGGGTGTCCCAGGTGATAAAGGACTACAGGACGGCTCTTTCGCGTGTAGTAGCGAGAGAGCTGAAAAGGTATTGAGGTTGAAATTCAGGAGTAAGGAGGAAACTTTCGTGGATTTGGCTGAACAGCTATTGGAAATTGAAAGGAAAGAGAAGAATGCAGAGTAGGTTGTGACAAGATTACTTGTTTGTGAAGAAGAGGATGCTCTGTTGATTTATATATATCTATCGTTACAAAGAATCTTAAACCGACGCTCGAGACTCTGGATCCAGATTGATGGTGCTACCTTGTATGGCCGTTCGAAAATTATTGTTCAATGGCAATAACCACTCATGCAAGTATAGTCAGCGTTGCAAGGAATGCTTGCACTACAATCCCATCCATTACAGCCCCAAGTACAAGCTCCGGTTTGACTGGCAGACCTAGTGGTAGTAGCGCTGGCTGTTTTAGTCGCAAGTGTTGTTGGTGTGCTCCCGACGGTAGTAGAGGTAGAGGTAGAGGGATCAGACGCGTTTGCAGCTACATTCATTATCAGTATTTCATTCTCCAAAATAGTCTCCGAGAGATATCTTACCAGGACCGCAACCCGTCTTCGTATTGTGTAAGAGCAACTGTTGGGCAGAAGACAAAATTGATGGGCTTCCCTCCACAATCAAGAAGTCCGCTTCTTTGTCATACTCAAACCATGATGCTGCAATGTAATTTGGATATTCGCACATATCTTGATTCACCAATTGGCCAATCCACGCAGCATTTCCAGAAGATCCAGCGTAGCCTGTCTCACCGATGGCGAATGGGATGTTATAAGCAGCGGAGTAGGTCTTGTAGAAATTGTCGTAGCAGCCTGAGAACGCGGAGGAAGAGAGTGGGGATGAAGTGGGGTAGCAATCGACGCCTACGACATCGACGTAAGATGCGCCTGGCCAGTATGGTGCAACTGGAGCAGATGAAGTGTCCACATTGGGAGACCAGTACATTTTGATCTTGGGATTGGAGGAGACAGCTGCATGGATATTCTTCCAAGCAGTAACAAATTCGGCTGCCGTTCCATGATATATGCCATCCGTCTAGTCAAATGTCAGTCATATTGATAGTAAAGCTTGGGATAGTCAATACTGACAACGTAGTAATTCATCTCATGACCAAATCTCAGCCAAACTTCTACACCCTTTGCAGTGAATTGTTCCAATACACCTGCAACCTGACTAGCTACACTACTAGTCACCTGACTAAATGGAATAGTCGGCATCACCGCCGGCTGGAACACAGCACCGGAAGCAACAACATCATCTAGACATTGAAGAAGTTGGGATCCAGTAAATGTACTAGACGATATTTGCGCATACCATCCATAAGTACTAGCTTTTCCGCCGAGCTTGCTGTTTATTTGTGCCATGGTGTAGGCTGGAGATGCCACTTGGTAGCCATCTGACGGAAGAAATCCAAATGCCACGCCGTTGGACACTACTCCGCCGGTAGGAAGACCATCAATTGCAGCTGATGAATGTTAGTCATGAGCTTTACAAAAAATAAGGATCTGTCACCTCGTTTTTCAACAGACAACTGTGGAGTAGCTAAGGCTGACACCGCCGAGAAAATGGCTGCACCAGAAAGAAAAGAGGTGGAGAATGACTTCATGGTACGAATGAGATGCAAATACTGTTGATGTATGAAGTTGAAACAAAAGTTTTTTATATATATAAATGAGATGAGTGTAGTGGAGAAGATGAGATGATAGAAAAAATAGGTAGAATTTCAATGAATCACAATATATATGGCCTTCACTCTTCTTCACTTGAAGGGGTTTTCATGTAAAGAGAATCTCAGCCGCCCCTTGAGGCTCAAAATATACAACACCATGGCCCACGAAGCTCTTTTATTTCTTAGAGTCCAACGTCAAAATACCGCATGGTATGCTATTTCCCAATTTCATCGTACACTGAGATCAATTCATCTGACATCAGCGCTCAATTGGTAGATCTTCGTGATGGGAAATGAGTATTTTTTCAACAATCCTGCAAGATGACATCCAGATTCCGGAAGGATTGTTTCAAACGACAATGTGGTTAGGGGTTGTGGCGTTGGGGTCCAATAGCCTCTGTGGCTTGAACACACTAGCGCCATGAGACCCCAAAAATAAAACTGACCTAGCGGCGAACAAGTATTTTTCTAGAACAACATTATTCAAGGGTATGACATCCGGATTCACTCGATCCTTAAGCAACTATATCGAGTGTAGACTCGAGATTCCACGCGCTGCCCCTGAATTGTGCCGATAGGAGTTGATGCTCATTTAACTTTGCGGACGTTTGTCAGCGAGGGATTCTTATATCAGCATCGGCAGAGCTTGAGGTTACATTGTGCCATGAGAATCGAGACAAAGTAGTTCGTGAAATCGGACGACATGAAGTCATGTCAAGAAGAAAGTTGTCTGTGACGATATCAGTTGCTTGCTCAACCATATCTTTCAGATCTAGCTACGAAGGATACGGATTGGATGTGAACAAGGGCAATTTGATCAGTATCTGTTGAATACTCGGGTTATCCAAGATAGATGAAACATTGTGTTATATTCATCATTGTAACTTTTATAGTCTAATTTTTCAATTGTTGTTTCATCGCTTTCAATGCACCCGTCGAAAGTCCGGGGTGTGTTTTTGAATGGTGTATTCATTGTTCTTGGCCCCCACAACACCCGTGCCGATATTTTCTGGGGTATCATAGCTTTCCACAGAAATCCTCATGGACCCTTTCTTAGAGTTGATATAAGGATTCTATAACAATTCAAGAAAGTGCTCCATATGAATATCCCCAGAACATTCAAATTAGAATCTCAAAACGGATTACAGTTCAGACTATTGAAAACACTAACGAGCAGCTACCCAACATAGAATAGCGTCTCGTACTGCACAACGTTCTATCACCCAGGTAGTATAGCATTACTAAACGCACTCTTTGAGCCGAGAGACATCGCTTCCTTCTTGTCGTTATTGTCTAATCGATTTTATAGCATGGAACAAATGTCAGCAAGAAGGAACCGCAACTGATCTCCTGCAGCTACATGAATCTCATGTCTAATAATTGCGGATCATGCAAGATGATTTGATATCATTCCTGTATAACATAACCTTAAAGTTTAATTTGAAGTTGTTGGTATATATATTGGTCAAATCAAGACGTGTTTTTTCATTCATCAGCTTTCCTAGTATCTTTTCCACATTCATTCACCAAATCTTAATTTAATTTTTTTGACAGTCATTCTTTTAACCTTATTTATTCCATCATGCATTTGAATCAATTGATTGTTTCGGCATCTTTCCTCGCCGCGACCGCACTTGCAGCTCCCTTGGATGCTCGCGGTAGTTCCACCTCACCAGCCAACGCAAAAGTTACCCTAGCAGTAGCATTTACCTCTGGCGCCGGCAACAAAGAGCCTAACTCTACCATCAGCATCGGTGTTGGTAAAGGCGCAGATACCTACAAGTGCTACTCTGGTGGCTGGCAATCTTTCCCATCATCTTCTGAATGGGTGTCATTTGATGCCATGTGGAACAGTTCCACTACATATCTCAAAGAATCATGTGCCAATACTGGTGCCTTTGGCTCTGGTGATAGCGCGGCACAGATCGATAACATGTATAACTCAATCTTGTCGGTCGCTAGTGCTAGTCTGGTGGACCCAAGATTTATCTACGCCACGATCTTGCAAGAGAGCAGTGGATGTGTCAACATCGATACTAGCCAAAACCCAGATCCAAGTCAACCTGACAACCCGTATGTTTTATTCCTTTTCTCTTCTTTTCTCAGCTATTGTTCAAAGCCAAATCACTAACAGTGTCCCAGCGGACTCATGCAATCTGTCGCCGGTGTAAAATTTGTCGGTAACTCCGCATCTTCTTCCGCCCAAGCTGCATCGATCCGCCAAATGATCGTTGATGGTACTCAAGGCACAGCTAAAGGCGACGGACTTGTTCAATGTATCAATCAGTATGGAAACATTTACGAGGCAGCTAGATGCTATAATTCTGGAGAGGTCAACGAGAGCAATCTGAACGATGCGGAGGGAGCTACACCAAGTTATGTTACCGATATTGCGAACAGAATGACTGGGTGGTTGGATGCGCCACAGAAGTTTAGTTCTTGCAAGAAATAGAGTCTTTGGTGTGGTATGAAGACGCGGCTTAGATGTAGATGTGTGGAGTAGCTTTGGCGGGGTGCTTTGGGGCAAATGAGCAAGGAGCTAGGTCTCGTTCGTGGAGGTGTAGTTTGTGGTTTGTAATTTCTGTGTTCTTGAAGCTGGAGAACTTCAAAATTTCACAGTTTGAGTTATAGGATATGTGATAGTCCGCACTGCAGTCTAGCAATCTTCAACTCTGGAATATTCAATCTGTTTTTGATGTTTTAGTTATTTTAGACATTGACATAATTATCGTTGTTGGATTCACGAGCATTCTACTATCCTATATTTTTGCCACTGTTTCTCACGATTTTCAAACTTGTAACTCCATGCATCATGTGAACTAACAATAAATTCAAAGATTACAAAAACTCAAAAGTAGCTATACATATGTCTCCTTGCTAACAACAAAAGTAACAATCCATATTGCGATTTTAGACAAATTGATACATTAGCCCATATCCGAAATCATCAAGAGATACTGCTCTCACCGAAATTGCATCCGAAGGAGTCCCAGGACTATCCCAATCACCAACACTACAGTATGGCATCCCAGAATGCACGTTTGTAGTCCAAGATTGGCTCCCATACACAAATTGTATGTAATTAGGTGGGTTACCATTAAACTCCGGGGTAATGACAAGAGGAAGAGGTAACGTGGTGTTGAAAATGTAAGGATTTCCATCACCGGCGACTTTTTTAATATTTTTTGAACCATCCTCTCCACTCCTCATAACCGGAATATCATTTCCAATATCATCTGTTATATTTCGTATGTGTACTTCGAAGACAACGTCTTCCTTGCTTGGTCCGAAAAAGCTTTGAAATTCTTCGAGGTGAGACCAACATCTTCTCGCTGTGTGATTCTGATTGCTTTGAGGAGCAATCCGGTACGTAACTGGGTCTACTTGAAGCGTACCGCCGGTCTTCCAATTTGATGGGTTCTCAACAGCATTCGAGTCGCAGGCTATTGTCTATATTAGCAAGCTTATACACCCGCGAAGATGATAGAGGATAACTACAATTCATAATTATTGTCATGTTATTAGAGCAAGAGTTCTCCATATCATGCTTGATATCTATCCCGGTGGCCAGTCAATTGCCAAAGCAACTTCATAGCGTCCACCTTGGTGGTAGGTACGAAGTATTGAGCCGCTATCTTTATCTTGTGTGTCTTGGGTAGCAGCTTCTTGACAGAATGAATTGATTTAATTAATCATATCATCGCGGGCCATAAATTTATTGCTTCCGGAATTGCATGTTGGCTTAGGTGTCGAGGTAGGAGATACGGCTATGGAAACGGAGGTGCTTGTTTGTGAAACTGGAGAGACAGAAGTTTTTGAGGAACTTGGCGATGATGAAGTTGAAAATGATGTCGAGGAAACAAAGGTTGTCGATTTGATGTCTGTTGAAGGACTAGATGATTCATATGTTGATATTGATGTGGGAATGGTCAAAAGACTTGTCTTACTAGAAGGATCTACGAGATTGTTAGTTGTTTGTGAGGAATTGTCAGATTCGCTGAGCCCCGTTGAAAAAACACTACTGGTTGTCTCGGAACATGATGTTGCAGAGGAGCCAATGGTCTCGCCTGTAGTGATGATGATTGAAAGCCCCGATGTCATCGATAGATTGATTCCCGTAGAGGTTGCACTGGTCTTAGAGATGGAACTAGTATGGTTAGCCACCATGATAGTGGTGCAAAGACAAGCACATGAAGTTGAATTAGACGCATCCAGCTCGCTTCCACAGACGTAAGATATTAAGACAGAACCAAAATCCATTACAACAAGAAGATAGTGTGAGAAACGTCTCACGGGTATCATATTCAAGAATAGTGCGTACATGATGCGAACTTATCTTTTGCTTTGACAGAAATATTGATATGTCAATTGATTGAACTGATATGAATAGGAATTGAAGCCGAAGAGCAAGCTACTTATAATGTTCTATCCGTACATAATTGCTCCATTGTAGATTAATCATGACGCCACAGAGTTGACAATGTTTGACTCATATAATATAGCAATATAATCATTTCCAGTCATCTTCATTTCAATTCACAAAACATTTTTCTCTTGAATGGCAATGCTGAATATAAATTGTAGCATAAAACAATGGAATGCGTGATTCAAGATAGTCCGTTGACCCTCTAGAAGACAAACAAAAGCTGATTGTTTAGCCGAAGATTTCTATAAAAAAAATGAAACCTCGAAACAATCCATTCTCGGAAAGAAATTCACTTGGAGGGATTAATTAGAACCGAGTTCCAGATTACTGGAGGAGTGCGAACGACTTTTAATATTCTGAGAAGTACTTAAGGAACTTCGAACCCCTGCAAATTCCCTAGAGCCTCCGCTTTTCTCGCGACGATAGAGCATCAACTACCATAGATTTTTGATCACGTTCCAATAAAGGGGAAGTTCGCTTATAGCACGACAAGTGAGAGAGCAAACTCGCAACCTACGACCAGGATAAATGATAATGCTGAAAATACTGAAAATAATTGCGGATTAGGTTTTACTAGACTCACCCTTGAGCAAGGACTGATGTGTTCTTGACCGGGGATATATTGCCACTGAAGATACTACTGCCAAGAATGCTTCGACGACGGGTGAACAGGACTGAAGCTGTATCATGTCTACCGCTAGGTCCGGAAGGGTCTTCATCTTTTTATGATCAAGTCTGTCAAAAGTTCCACCAGTCAATACGTCGATACTTTCTTCTATGATCATGATAATGCATGAGACAACGGCACAAGCCCGCGGATAATTTGAAAATTAAAAATTTGTTATAGCCAGTAGATAAGCAGAACACGGCACGAATCCTTCCATAGATAGGAGGGATTTCGAAGTGGTTCGGCAGTGGCAAAAATGGTACGAGTGTCAGAAATTTGATTCATCGTCGGCGTTGCCGATGAAGATAAAAGACTATCTATCCGATGGAGCTTTTGAAGACGGAACAACGGACATCTGCGCTGTAATGGACATGCTCATTCTTGGCGTTCTGTTTTCTTCCGAAAGGACTATGAAAGCTCGGGAATATACGGAGGGAACTCATGTCTTATGGGATCCTTCAAGATACATGTATGCATTAGATTCATCTGCAGGATTGACCGCCGCGTAAAGATTACGCTGATATCATCGAAGCTAGTTTCGAGAAAATCATAAGAGATTGTTGAACCTTGTCCGAGCCCCCTGCCAGGCTGATGAAACCTTCTACCTCAAGACTAAAAGGGTTCTGTTGAAGATCTGTAAGGGCGCGTAGTGGATCTAGTATAGACGTCAATTATCTACTGGTCTTGTAGTATTTGGAATTCGGCATGAAATGTGTGTCCTTAGCTTTTATCAAACCCTTCACACCCTGCAGTCATCAGCGAAGATTGTGCATCTGCCTTGATCCAGAAGGTTAATATCGTGATGACAGTGGCGATTTCTCCAAGCCACAAAGTAGAGATTTCACAGGCTCTGTTTTCGCTATGACCTTGTTAACGATAATAACGCCAGATATAGCGAGAATGAAGCGATTAATATCTCGCCAAGGGCTACAGTCTCTTGCGAGATTACGACTGGGAGTGTATGGAGGTGCAGAAATCCGTATGTTATGCAAGCTCATGATGAGGAGCAAGGGATGACAATACATGGATACTTGTGTGTGTATCTATCGATATCGATGCCACGGATTGCATTCATTTGAATTCAAAATAATAGAGAGAAGAGAACATTCGCTGGATGTGGAAATTTTCCCAAAGGAGGTAACGGAGTAAACACACGGCTTGTCTGGAGATGGTAATATTTCCAAAAGGAGAAATCGAGAGTGATATATGAAGCTCCATACATTCAAGGACCGCATATGACCAGGAATTAAGCGAGTTTGAGGCTCTTCAACATGAGTGCTCGATCATTGGTATCTCCCTAGGTAGGTAGTTAATATGGTATTGAGAGACACCGAAAAAGTTGTTCTGTACTGTATGATTCCGCGTCGTCCAAGACAGATCTTGCTGGTTAATTTTTTTCTATTGATATCATTAGGATATGCGTTATAGAATATCAAGAGGATAAAAACGATAAAATCAATGAAGATATCCCAGCTTAAAGCTGACAGTCGGAGTGCGCGAGGTTCAATAAACGGCTTTACATCGGCTTTCGGACGCGCGACGCGCCACGAGTGGCTGGTGAGAGGTGTACCCCGTCCCACCTTTGAACCTCGTTTCGAGCGAATTTGATGTTAGTGCAGACTTTTCTCTTTTGCGCTGGCGACACAGCTTGTGAATTAGACTTGTCTCGGAATTAGAATTATGTTCCTATAAACATTGTTCGCGCACTCGTTTGCAGAAGAATTCTGTTGAGTTTCTTATGAAAGGTGCTGCCCCGCCCTCTCACCTGGCTACACTGGGTCAGTCGGCTTCAAAGGCTCGATCGCAAGTTCACATTATGCTTGCCTCTGTACGATACCCTATAATTAAGCTTTTATTGGTAATACCGAGCCGCTGTGGACGGGTGGACGCAAATGTACACCATATCAAAATCTTTCAGGGCACTTCAGGTACTTACGTACCCCCAAGGAAGCATCATTTGTGGGTGCAACTGGCGGCTAGATAGGGTCATGGAGCCCCAAAACTTGCGAGAAACCTAGGCTTTGAAGTTAGCTCGAGGATAAATCTCGGGCTTGTGAACCTAATTTCCACTCAGCCGTGCTTTATACACCGCTGACAGCGTCCTAGTCCCCATTTCAAGTCTAACACAAACCTTATAGAGAGCCGTGCAAGAATTACACCATGGAGATGCCTGTGGTTGGGGCAGATTTTCATGAATCATCAGTATTAATTCAAGGAACCAGTCCACTTCACCCCGCAAAAAATGTCTAGTGACATATCTCGGCACTCCAAGTTAAGGGGACGCGTCCACCTGTGGGGTGTCGTCCACTTCTGGGCATCTGCCGGACATCTTATTGTCCGTTCAATGTTGGGATGCATCCGAAAACATTTATCAATATCTCAAACTTCCCTCTTTGTTGCATAGCGTTCGTCTCATCTCAAGCTTCATTTTCAACGACCAAGAGTTTCTTTTCGTCATGCGCTGGTGTTCGCTATATGTTTTGCCGATTGCTGCTTCAGCAGCTGCCGTCGCAAATGCAGCCAATACCACGGTCACTTCCATGCCATCCGTTACTTTGGATTATTCGACCATTGTTGCCACCGCTGGTAGTGAATCGATTGGATATTATAAGTACCAAAACATTCGTTATGCTGCTGTCCCAACTGGAGATCTTCGTTTTGCAAAACCACAATGGCCCCCAGTCGAGACCATTGTGAACGACGGTACTTTGGCTCCAGAAAACGTTGACTGCGCAACTTACGAGGACTGTCTGTACCTTGATGTCTGGGCACCTGCTAATAGTGCCAATAAGAGCCTGCCCGTTGTTGTATGGACACATGGAGGTAGATTCGTCCTTGGAAGCAAGACAGCGGTCACTCCTGAAGCTCTCTTCGCCTTGAGTAAAGATTTCATCTTCGTTGCCTATAACTATAGGCTCGGAATGACAGGTCTAGCTACCGGTCCGACCCTTAACCACGAAGGCGGAACCTCGAATGCTTTAGTTTGGGATTCTGCGCATGCTTTCGATTGGGTCAAAAAGTATATTAGCCAATGGGGTGGTAATCCAGAAGAAATAGTGGCCGTTGGATTCTCAGCCGGTGCTTCTCAGGAACTCTTTCAGATCACGGTATGAAACTGATTTTTTTCAATCCGAAATATAAATTAATGACTAACTCTTCGTGCATAGAAATTTGCTGGTCGTGCTGAACAGACTTTTGCTCGTGCATACCTTATGTCCCCAGGCTATATACCCGCAGCTGGTCATCAGAATGCTGAGGTGAGATTTCCTGTATCTCCATACTATTCTTGAATTGGTTGTTCATAAGATATTTAGGCTTTTTACCAAAACGTATCCAGCTCTGTTGGGTGCTCGGGTGGTAGCTTGAAATGCTTGCGCTCTGTTAACTTCACAACCCTTCAAACAGCCGCTACCAACATGGTAGCTAATTACACATATCAATTCCAACCTCGTGTAGATGGAGACTTTATTTCCGATACATGTGCGTACTCAATTATAGATACTGTCACAATCATTACTAACCAAAGTTAACAGACGAATCTCAGCTCTATCAAAAACGCTTCAACTTCACTGGTCCTCTAGTAATAACTCACGAGCTTCACGAAGTCAACAATAAATTACCTGCAGGTGTCAATACCAGCTCTGATATCGCTCCCCATCTCCGACTATACTTTCCTTCTATTACAGATGACATCGTCAATGAAATCCAGGATCTTTACCCCTCAACGGACTATACAAGTGAAGGACTTCGTTTTGCAGATATAGACCAAGACTTCGAGCTTGTGGCCCACAACCACGCTCTAACTGAAGCGCTTAACAACCAAACCTGGAATGCTATGGTAGCGCTTGGTGTTGCTACTCACGGCATGGATCAAAATTATTATTGGTACAGTAACTTCACTCTTGTTGAAACAAATACCACCACCACTACAACTACAACTGCAGCGGGTGCCGGTATTGTTACCACTACAGACATTGATTTCAGCGTTGCGCTTAAGATGCAAAAATATTTGGTGTCGTTCATCCTGACCGGGGATCCAAATAAGATGTGGCCGGAGGATAAACTATATTGGCCATTACATGGAGGAAACGCATCTTTGCCTGGTCAAGAGTTGGTTTTCAATGATACGATGTATATTCAAGATGATATCTTGGCCAACGAAAAGAGTGTGTTCTGGAATAAGGCACTTTGGTATTAAAACATTCAAAAGAGTAAGATATCGTTTTCAGAAGAATCAAGAATATATTCAACTATTTAAGTAAAATTGTTTGATACTGAAGATAGACTTTGGGATATATCAAAGTATATGGGTATTAAGTCTTGCTACCAGTAACAAAGATGGAGTGAAGTATCCGTGAACGAAAGATGAATGGAGAAAACGCAAGGGCTCTCTTGCCCCACTAGACTCTGGATATTAATCTCTTCAATTCGAGTCAAGACTCAGATCCAATCAATAATAAGTATCACAACATCTGAAACTTTCATGAGTAGTGGTCATGCAAGACCATTTCAAACATCACACAAGGTGGAAGTGGGGGTGAATGATAGAAGAAGCTCAAAATGCGGGGTACGTACCCCAAAACATTTACCGGTACTGAACAACCCAATATCCCAATTCCACATCCGCATATCCAGAATCCCATTCAGCATAAACTTCCCCATACTCAGCGATTTCGGAGCAAAACTCGCTTACTATGCATCATCCTGTATGATCAAAGAACCCGAGTACAACTCATACCCCAAACCCCGAGTACAATATATTTCTTCTCGCCAACAAAAGAGCCGTATCTTGGCATGTAGTATTTCCTGTCCTACCGAGCCGATTATCTATTTTGTGCAACGAGACCCGACGTACCCGAGACCAAAAATCCGTTGGGCCTTTAATTTTGGCTGCTTTTTTCATGCACAAGTCTATTTTCAGTCTTCAACGGCCTGGCCCGAAGACTAGATCGTGGGAAAGCCAGGAGGCTAGATTGAAGATTGAAGAATATGTGATTTATCAATTGGGAAGGAAGGTTGGGTAATGATAGATACACCCCTTGTGGGTTTTGAGGGTCGTCATGGAGATGGGACTGAAGTAATTCCGCGTTTATGTCCATCTCGAACTTGGTTATCAAAGCATGTGTCAAGCGTCAAGCTACATGCTTCATAATTGTAGGTTGTAATAGCATCAGGTATCAAATGAAATCCAGAGGCTAGAATTCGAGGTCAACATATTTCAATAGCTCAAATCGCTTGTGATTTGAGATTAATTACCGTAATCGCGTTTAAAGTTTCTGAAAAGTTTGCTCAGCTTCTTTACTACAAGGTGACAATTGCATGCTTGAGAGAATCCACGGCACGAGAATTTATTATAGTCCATAGGTACTTGAAGCAAGGTCAATGAGGATTCAATGCGGTTTCGCTATATTATAGTGCACCGTCTAGTTCGACTACTGAGATATGCTTCACACAGGCTTTCTAAAGTTCAAGTATTTCTTCCATTTCATATGTGAATAGTAAGCTAGAAATAATTAATTACAGGAATGATGTAGACCTGCGCCAAACTCCATGAGAGAACAAGATAAAAGAGAACATTCGTCATCTGCAACAATTTCCCCCCCCGCATACAAATCTAAAAGAAGCCGTAATCGCATATATTCTATACCATGATCTCATCAAATCATATCCCCTAATCCATAAGCTTCCAATCACTTAACCCACTTCTTCAACCATTGACTCAAAAATTGCTTCACATATCCATCTTGAATAATGTCAGGTGGGCTTTGCAAGACTTTACTGTCTCTCAGGATCGCCTTGGTGTCGAATGTAACTCCGACGATTTCATAGTCGCTAATGCTGGTTCCCTTGCTGCTTGGTGGTGTAGCACCCGAAATACTGCTTCGAGGACTGCTAGCACCACTTGAGCTTGCATTAGCCTCGGCACCACTGTAGCCATGGCCATTGTTACTTTGAAGGTATCGCTGTTCGAAATGATCCAAAAGCTTGACGGCTGGGTTTTGCTCTTCTTGGCCGTTAGCAGCTGACTCTCTGAGCTTTTGTAACCAATCTCCGAAAGGAATAGCCTTGAAGTCCAGACCGGCTGTAGAAAGTTCGCCGAGAAGAGACTCCCAAGTGAATGTGGCAGGGTTGACCATGTTGTAGACAATAGGAGGGTTGGTGCTGTCAATAGCACATGGTCGAGGAAGAGACTTGAGTTTCTCATCAATCTCTAAGATGGCAGTGGCAAGGGTATCAACCGGGATCCAAGAGCAGTTTTCGTGGAAAATTGGGAGAGCTTTCATGGAAAGTGCAGATCTGATCATGGAAGGCACGAATTCGGCTTCGTTCCAGAAACCGTTATCCCTGTCTCCTACAATCTGTCCAATACGGAGAGCATAGGCTCGGGCTCCACCACGAGCAGCATTAAGAACCATGTATTCACCGACAAGTTTGGATTGGGCATAACCCATATTCAAAGCGTTATTGAAGTCTTCAATTGGAGCATCTGGGATAAGAGCTGGTGCAGGTGTGTTCTCAGCTGTGGAGATAGAGGAAGCGTAGAAAAGACGAGCTGGCTCTGAACGATAGACAGCGAGCGAGAGGTCCAAAAGATTCTTCAATCCAGCAAGGTGGGGTTCAAAACTTTGTAAGCCAATAATGAAGTTGACAGACCACGCCAAGTGAATAATGAGTGAGACCTCAGTCTTGAATTGCTCAATCATAGCTTTTCCAAGACCGAGATCATTGAGGGCAAGGTCAGACGTAAAAGCGACAACCTTAGATCTTGCGGCTGGAGTGAGAGATAATCCACGGTCTTTGATAGACTTTAAGACTCTGTCCATTGGATTCTCTCCTCTAACGAGACAGTATACTTTTCTGAATTTGGGGCTGTTCACCATCTGGTATAGGGCGTGAGCACCCAAAGAACCGGTAGCACCAGTCAAGATCTGTTTTCACGTAAGTATATTGGCGTCACAAAGGTAGTGGGAATTAGACATACCACAACTTCTCCAAAAGTGGAGTATTTCTGAATCAACGATTCCATCAGTGGAACGTTATCTTTGTTTTGCTCGCCTCCACCAGAGCTAAGAGAGAACAAGTATTGTGCTAGAGCTCTGACAGTTCCATGTTCGTAAACGACGTTACTGCTAAGTTGTTGGCCCTTAAGATCGAGAGTCTTCTGGATTATACGTCTCATTTGAATGGCCCTCAAACTGTCAATATCGGCATTGAAGAAATCGGTGTCAATAGATTCCAGAGGATGACCTGTAATATCTTCGTATGTCTCGGTTAAGAAAACTTCAGTACCGACGAGATCAAGTTGCAAAGTTCCTTCCGCATCTCCATCAAGACTTTCATATAGTTCATCGATTTTATCTGCAAACTTCTTGTAGATTTGTGCGCGGATGATGCTTCCCTTATCTGTTCTGGGGTATTCAATATCTGAAGGCACCAGACCGACCATCTCCTTGGTAATTTGAGAGAAGCCCTCAGCACGAGAGTTGGCGTCAACGATAGCTGGCCAGATAGCCTCAAGATATTCTTCGTCTGAAAGCTCATCAGAAGCTCTGAAGATCAAGACACCTGGAATAGCTCTATCTACACCAAAAACAGCAGCTTCACGAATGATCTCTTCTTGGCGGAGACGCCCTTCTATTGGAAGTGGAAGGACTTTCTCTCCATTGCTCAAGGTAACACGATCATCAAGACGAGTCACATATTTCCAAGTATCAGGAATGGTTGGATGCGGCTCGAAAACATCCTTTGAACGCCATGAGCCAGGCGCGGGGTCATCCGAGTTTGAGACGGACAATCCTGGATGGCTCTTAAGGTAGACACATTCGAATTGATTATCACCGAGTGGGTCCATGTAGATGGAACTTCTGATGTTTTGGTAGATTCGAACGTAATTCCACGAGTCATCGCCGTCAGCACGGCGCATAGTATCACCAAGAAGACCTGCTTCAGTACTAAATGGAGTTAGTTGGCATAACATCAAAAATAAATAAATAGAATGGAATACTCACGTTCCAAATACGACACCAATATTCACCTTCTCCGAGGCCAAGAGATCACCGAGCTCGTCGGGAGTACGAGCACCGGCTGCAGTGACAATCTTAGCCTGCTTCAAATATGCCATACCTCTTGGGTGCTCAGTTAAAAGTCCTAAAGCATATGGTACGGCGTGAAAGACCTCAGGTTGAGTTGCTTCGATTGCGAGCATAAGGTTGTCTGCAGTCATTGGCAGAGTAGCACTAGGCAAGTTTGCCTTCTTTGCCATGTACATAGCTTGAAGTGTAGTGGAGAGACCATACATGTGGTACAATGGAAGTGCACCGAAGTTATGCATTCCAGCACCTTGTACTGGATGGGTCAACACATTCTTGTGGGTAAGAAATACCGGTTTAGGTAGCCCGGTAGATCCAGAACTGTGCATGACAATGGCGACCTCATTGGTCTCAACCTCGCGATCGAATTCTCTTGTGAAAGGCTTCTCACTCGCTGGGCGTGGTACTCCATATTGAGCGCGCTGGGGAATGACGACAGATCTTAAAGTGGCCTCTTGTGCAACGGCATCACAAGTAGCAGCAATTTGTGGGGTATCACCACGGATTATAACTTCGCACTCTGTTTGCTTAAGCAGGTTGATGATAGCTATTGGTGCTATGCGAAGGGAAAGGCAGAGAACAGTATATCCCAAACGACTGAGAGCGAAGAAGGTGACCGCGAAGTCTACATTAGATGGAGAGTATAGACCAATGACTTTTTTCCCGTCCTAGATTGAGAGTCAGACTGGTTACAGTGAGTCTTGGGTGCATATTTAGTTGACTTACAGGCTTCAACCCATTCCTGATGAAGTATTTGCATGCAGCATCGACGAATGAGTCAAGCTGTTGACCAGTGAAAGTCTCATAATCGCTTGGATTATCCTCAACTCTTGGATATCCCAGAATGGGAGCAGGAGGATTATCTCTGGAACGATGGCGGATAATATCGTCGAGCACCCTGAGCTCTCCGAAGGTATCGTAAAGGTGCAAGATATGCTCTGGGGTGAGATGGGCCATTATGATCTAAACGACAACTAAGGAGGCTACGAATAGGGCGAAAGAGATATTGATCAAGACTGGAAAGATTGTAGAAATGTTGATGAGAGAGGACTGGAGAATGAATGAAATCTGAGCTGGGGAGCCGACTTGATAAACACCTTTCGGGTTG